GTCTCTGCCCAGGGACAACTTTGGCACAACCTTCAGCATCAAAAGAGGGACAGCATTCCTTCCGAATACTGCAGCACACACTCAAGAGATCGGCCGCCCTCAAGTTTTGTATGGGTAACTTTCTGCTTGTTTCTGAACCAGACTGGGGAAATAACATTAATTCTCTAGCTTAGATGCAGCTATTCCAATGTAAAATATGCTTATGCTATTATAGCTCATTTCCATGCCTTTTAGCAGCTTCTATGGAAGCAACTACCACTTTCCAGAGAGAAGGTTGAAATGTTTTATCCATCCAGGCAACAAAACTGTAGGAATATAGAATTGTGTGTAGATGAGTTTGAAAAGATGCCACAGCAACAGAACTGCTGAAAAAGCCACCTGCAGCTCCTGTCCCTGCTTGCTGGTAACAGACAGCAGGTAGCCAAAACTGGAGACCAAGGAAGAGACATCACGCTGGCCAGGAATCACTTTTCAAATGAAGAGCTTCCGTCAGAATGATAGAGGCTGAATTTTAACCACTGGTAAAATGGCAAAATAACTTCCCATTATCTACTTTTCAGACTGATTGTTTTCAAATACCTCTGAAAAAAAAACCCTAAGTTTTTCTTTTTTTTTTTTTTTTTTTTAATCTGTTCCTGCTGTGAGTACAGAGCTCTTCCAAAAATACTGGTCTTAATAACTCAGTGTCCCAAAACTCTCTCTTTAGAATAGAGACAATATTTCTCCTCTCTGGCCCTTGTCTGAGCCTGCCTAGAGCTCTCTCCAAATACATCTGTATATACTGCTGGTGTCAGGGGATAACGATTTCACCATGCTCCAATCACTGCTGGTAAGAAAATTAACCTTCAATATAAACAGAGGAGCTGAGTGTGGTATAAAACAAACCTGCATCTCCCAAGTGCCCATTTGGATTGTTTTTATTGGGCACCACGGAGCCTTTGCATGCCCCACCATCCGTTTCCCACCCCTGAAACATGACAACCATGGCCAGGAACCTAATGGAAAGAAACCCCTACCTGCCCCTGCCGGGACTGGCAGCCAGCTGACAGCCATGGAAGTTGAACAGCAAGAAGGTCAGGCAATGAAAGAGACGTCAGACACAGCCCAGAGTGACAGCTGAACTCCTGTGCAGATTCCAGCAGTTTCACTGGGGCTTTAAATCACTAAAAGCTTCTGTCAGCAACTCCATGTGATTTCTGCCTTGCACCCCGAGGACTAGAAAGCCCCAGGCTACTGACTCACGGGAGGGAGCAGATGACAGTGCTATCTGGGGCAGGACATGGCTTGGGGAGGGTGCCATCACCATGCCTTATTTCTCATTTCCAACAAAGTTAGTGTGCGTGAAAGGTTCTGGACTGACATCCCAGTAGAATAGCTGCCTTCTCGTTAATTATAGTTAATCATCCAGGAATTACTTAATGTTTGCATAATGCTTTGAAGTGGCAAAGCACAACATAGCAGGTAGATATTATTAGTTCCAAGAAACAGGTATAGTAAAGCTGGGGGGGTTTCACTGTGTGGTTTCCCACCCAAGAGGTCACACCAGCTCAGCTCACACAAGTGGACTCTGCCTTGGCTCCATACTTTGGACCCTCTGTGCACCCACCTTGTGCCCCAGGATTGGCCCACGGGGGAAGGAGAGGGATGAGTGAAAAGGGGAGAGGCAGGGTAAGGAAGGGCAGAGGACACTGCTTTTCTCTTATGAATTTGGCCACCTCCCCACCTGTCCATGTGTGGAGCAGCATCTGTAATGGCAAGAGGAGCAGCTTGGACTCCCTTCAAACACATTCTGGGATCTCCCACTGAGCTAAACCAGACTGAAATGGGAGGAAGGAGGCCCTTGTATTCCCCTCTCCATCCCTTCTCTCAGCCCTCTAGACCGGCTACTCTCTAATCCCATCTGACTGCTCCCTCACTCCCTGACAGCACCCAGGCCTGTGTCATCTTCCTGGAGATATGATTTTACCAGTTTGCCTTACTCTGCCTTGGCTAGGGACTGACATTCATCTGCCAGAAGAAAAGGGGCCCAACACTCCATCACTGATGTTCTCCCCACGGGGACACTGAGGGTGCTCCCTCCCCATGGGCATGGCTGTAAATCCTGGAGCTTAATTTTTCACTGCATGCATAGTGAACATTTCAAAGCGCTTACAAATCCCCTCAAGCACCGTCAAGTCAAACAAGTGACAGTAATGATCACTGGCAGAATGACAGGCCAGTTCATACCACTTGTTCTTTTATAGGGGCACTTAAAAAGTCTCTGTTGTTCCCCTTCTATAGAACTGTGACTGCATTTATTCAGAAACCACAAGTCTACCCAGATATTTGGCTTTCTCTGAACCAGTTCTGGGTACCAAACTTCTGCTAGTATCATAACCCTAAATGAATACAGCATCAATCCCATATTCTGAGGGCTGATGCCATCAGAATAACAATAATAATAACAACAATCTGCATTCCATTCTGTTCTGATTGCCTCTTGTTGTGTCTCCCCTTCCTTTACCTCTCTGCTGTACTCAGGATGGTATTGTAGCACAGCCCAGCATCATTTGAACTGGAGACTCTGCTGTGGGATGAAGTCCCCAGAATCAGGATCTAGGCACTCAGAATATTAATGTGAGGGGAGATGAAGTGAGACCTACATCCTTACTCTCAAAGCTGACATTCTCAAGAAAAAATAGTATTTCAATAAGTAGTGTGACACAATTATTGTCCTTTTTTTTTTTTAATGACTACTAGCATGAAAGGTTCAGATGATGAGCCTAGTCACTTTGCTGGAAACAAAGCAAAGGATACAGCACCTTTTTGCTCTCTGAACCCCCCAAACATGGTGTAAAATGACAGATGGCCATACCTCAGCAAACACTGGCACTCCTGCTGAAGTCAATAGGGGGATGAAGGACTTTGGACCTTTTGGGAGAAAGTAATTGTCTGGATGCTGCCATTGAGCCCACACCGTGGATGAAAGATGGGTAGTTTTCATCAAAGCATAAGAAACCAGGAATGAAGAACATCCACCATGTGTGAGAACAGAAGATGCTTGTGGTCAGGTCACCTAACGGGCCCACTAGTGACAGGGACCATGGTACCTTTAAGGGATGAAAACAACTGAAAATTCATTTGTGTGTCTCAACTTCTGTGTTTGCCAGTGAGAACACTGGTTTGTTCTGTATCGTTTCCACAAATGACAGATTTTTTACCTTATTGTTGTTGTTCTAACAGTATCTGTTTCCCTATCCTCTGCTGGTTTTTCCACCCTCTGCGAAGGATCCTGCCCCTTCACAGCATGTCCACACAGACAGTCAATTCAGTATTCCGCATAACTGAGTGGGTGGAAATCTCCACAGGGGTTGTGAAAAGCGCTGCTGACAGAAGAGAAATGGTTCTGTCAGGGGCAGATCCTCCTGCCACTTGTTCTTGCTCCAGCGCTTCCACCACGAAGTTTCCTTCCCTGTATCTATATCTATGCTGGGTGCCAGATGAACTGCCTTTGTGCCTCTGCTCTAACTCGCAGGTCAGGAAAGGGAAGGAAAAAGACCATGAAAAACACATGTTTGTTTTTTTTTTAAATATTTTTTGTCCTCCTTAATTACTGTTTAGAAAAATGCTCCAGTGCTGCACAAGGACCCTTGGTACAGTTTCAGTGCTCTTTCTTTCTCTGCTGGGTACAACTAGTATCATGTTTGGGAGCAGTTTCTATGATCCAAGCACCTATTAACGGGAACTTTGCTGAAACCATCTCTATTTTACAGGAGTCTCTGGACAGACTTCATAACAATTTTCTGGGTTTGGGCTTAACATGCTGGTTTATTAGTGAAAAGTGCTATTTCATAACACCCCTCCTTCACCTTATAAGTACTTTCTTAATGCCCAGGTAATATTTAAAGAGTACCACTCTCAGCTAGAACTTACTGGAAGCCTGGAAATTAGGGAAAACTTCATCAGATGACAATAAATTCCCACAGTTTTACTGACTAGTAGTATGGAAGATCATTCCCTGCATACTACCCAGCCTAGGCAAAAGCAGTATCAGCCCCTGTGATCCAAAGGTACCTGCAGTAAGGCCTTCTCTCTACTGGATGCTTCTACAGCAAAGTTGTTGTTTGGTATCCATTCTGTCTGTCATTCCTTCCACCATGCAAGGCTCCACTAACACTAACCATTCTTTCACAAGAAGCTTTGCACTACAATGTATTTCTTATGATAATTACTCCGTTACCTGTTCCATCAACCTCTTCCCTTGGTCAACACATCCAGGTTCTAAAAAAATTTGGGATAAGAGCTACATCTTCTCTTACCCCAATACTCCTATGCCGAGCGTTTAAGTTGGGTATGACATCAGTGTTACTGATTTATGTTGATTTTTTTTGTTAAATGGGTGCTCTATTTCACTTCTGAGTTTACTGTACTTCCATAAAGGCTGAAGCAACTAATACAGAAAATGGTAAATCTTCAAAAGCTTTGGGGTTCTGCTGGAAATAACATGCTGTACAGAATTTTCCAAAAGTAGATGCAGAGTCCAGTGAAGGTCTGCCAAGTGGAGTTTAAGGCTCAGATACAACAATAAGTTTGGCAATCTGTAGGTCTGGAGATCTAGCAACACACCTGTTCCACCAGCAAAACTTTGTTTTTCAGTTGAGATAACAGTGGAGATGCATGAACATAATGCTTTTCCAAAACCAAAATGTCTCCTGCAAAGAGTTTTATGGACTTCTCAACCTCCTCATGCTCCAGAGAAGGAGTCTCAATCCACAAATTCCAGCAATGGAAATGACAACAGGAAGCTTCCCTTCAATCAGCCAGTTCCCCCTTCAGAAGCCTGTCAGCCATTCAGTACCTGCTCTATTATTCTCTCTGTTGAGCCTAGTTTTCAACATCACAATCTATTGTGGCTCCCATCACTTCCCTTGAATGACAAGCTAACAGCTCTCAGCTCCCACACTCCATATAAAAAAGCAGCCGTTTCATTCAAGATAAAAAGAGGCACCAGAATGTCCTACCTGCAGCAATCCCCATCTTCCCATCCACAGACACAGACACAGCCGTGCTCACGGTCACCACTTTCGGTAGGTCACCTCCCTCTGTCAAGACACAAATACAGCAGGCTTGGTTAGCTCACCACCAGAGAGGAGTGAAATGCAGCAGGAGCAGCTGGCTCACACATTTTCTCATCCAGGACAGTTTGTACCCAAGCCTCAACTCTAAAACATCCCAGAGTTTCGAGGACTGCATCTTTCAAGACACATAATCTAACGTAATGGGCTATGAGTAGATTTTTTTTTTTTTATTTTGGTCTTATAGGTGATGCCTCATGATAAAAGTAGCATCCTCAGCATAAAAGAAGTGTACAACGCCAGGCTGGACGGGGCTTTGAGCAACCTGGTCTAGTGGAAGGTGTCCCTGCAGGGGACAAACCACCTGGCAGGGTGGGTGGAACTAGATGATCTTCAAGGTCCCGTTCAGCCTCAAACGTTCCATGATTCTAAGATAAAATGTAAAGGACTGGTCTCCTTGATTTTGGACATGTAGAGCCTCTCTTAGGCCAGAAAGATGTTCTGCTTAATGCACCAATCTAAACTCTGTAGACAGAGGAGCAGCAGGACAGGTAATTCTGACAACACTTACACAGTAAAGGCTGGGCTCATGTCTGGCTCAGTTACCCAAGCCAGGCCAGCACTGCAAACTGCAGAGCAGACAAAGCACTCCCAGGTACTTCCAGGGTGCATTCCATTTTGGAAACCAGGTCCTCTGGGACTTTAAACTCTGTTATGCCCCAGGGTCTCCCGATTATCTCTGAGCTGCTGTTTTAAGCATCCTGTAAGTCCTGTGTCACATCTGCCAGCCCTGTGCAGATCTCTCAGCTCCCACAGGGCATTTAAAATAACATGGCTGGATAGGCTTAAGCAACTGAACCCCACCTCCTCTCCCTGTGTTAGTGCAGTTGTTTCAGTCTGCAATTGTCCATGTGGTAGATTCCACTTCTGTATTTTTTTAAAAAATTGTTAGATTAGCTTCAGCTGGGGCACCTCTCCTGTAACTGCCAGAGGACAGTTTAAAGGTCAGGATGATCGATCTAGTCTGTAACTGAGTCCCTCCTTGCAGGCTGCATGGAAATCTCCTGCTCAGACAGATGCATCAGGGATTCTTTCTTTGCCAACAGCTCCAGCATTTGTTACTGATTTCCATTTCTGCTTTCATCATTCTAGGTGGTACCCAGTGTGTCCAGAGCACAATTCAGTGTCTACCACAGTTTAGCCTGGAGGCTCTCACTGTTTTTCGATTTTTGGACTAAAGCCACATTAACCTGCTCAAGGGTGTCAGAAATAGTAAAACCCTTGTGAAACACTACCCAGCCAACTTATGCTCACATGCCTTGGGCATGATCCTGCCTTTATGGTGAATCTCAAATGTCTTGTTCTTCCTCAGATGGGACAAAGAAGCAAAATACATCTAGTGTCTCCAGAAAAAAAATCTCATCCAACACATGAGAGAACTGGGCTGCAAGAACAGTTCTACTTGACATGCAGAGGGTTCCCTGATGTCTTTTTGTCTCTGGGACTTTTGCACACTAGAAGGAGGTGCCCTAGATAAAGCATTCTGATGACCTGCAGTCATTCCCTGCTGGTTTCCTTCCCAGCAGGGAGCTCTTGGGGCTTTTCCTTCTTATATGATTAGAAGTCCATCTGCCATGAAAACCCCTTGTCACTGGGCAGTGAATCGTGGAAAACATGAAAAGAGGACTTCAGCATCTAATAGAATTTAATAAGAAACTGGGTGGCCTATTTTGGCTAAAAGGTGGAGCAGCCCTGCTTCATTAGATGTCAAGGAAGGGCCTGGACTTTGCTTTCCAGTGAACTCCTGTGGCTCAGAAGCACTGAGTATTATTTCCTGGCTCTTTCCAGGCATATTGTGTGACCTCATGGATCACAGTCCCTCTAAACACAGCTGCTCATCCCTAAAGAGACTACTAATCTCCCTTACAGTTTAGGGCACAAGGTCTTCAGGGTCATGTACTACTTCTTACAGTGTGCCTGCAGGGTTTCCAGGTGAATGGGGTTCTGGACTTGACTGAAGCTTCTGACCAACAGCCATGTAAACCAAAATCCAGTGGCAGCTACATGTCTTCTGTCTTTATACATAACTACCCGTGACTTCTAAGAAAGCCTCAGCAAACCACAAGCCCAGTGTTAAGCCAGGAGTGGCTGCTGTGGGTAATGGCTGCCCTAGGAAGTCCCATGGGGTGTCACTGCCTGGTTTTCTAACCCATATTCCAAAGAGCAAACGCTGTGGCATGCAGGGGAGTAAAAGGTCCCTCCTGCCTTTCCTCTCCCTCTCTTCACACTTGACTTTTAAGTGATATTTAAGTGTGCTGGGTAGAAGAGAGAGGTTTTTGTGAGAGGTTTCAAGTATTTTTTCATTCCACCTCTCTCGCTTTACATCCTGGTTCATCTCTTGCCTTCAAGCCTGGTTTTCTTCACTTTGCTACTTGCTTTCCCACCCACCAGCCTCCCACCACTGCGCCACAAAAAGCTTTAACAGCTAAAGTGCCAAGCTCCATGACAGAGATGGAGAGCTAGGGGCCAGGGAGGAGCACAGAGGGGATTTCTGCCTTCTGTGTAGGAGTCTCACATGAATATTTTGTTTTGTTTGTTTGTTTTTAGGCTCTTCTGCTCTCTTCCAGCCTTTCAGGAGGTCCTGGCTGGCCCTGCATACTCACAGGAACCAACACCCTAAGCAACAGACACTGAAAAGCTACTCCTTGCTTTCCTCTAGTGTTTGAACTTCTTTACTGAGCAAGAGATGCCATATTCTAGTAGGAAGGATGCAGGGCACCAACGCTATGGAAAAGCCTTCCCCCTCACCCCTTTCCTCTGCCATCTTCCATAACAAACCCATCCATTCCTGTCACGAAAAATGGTGATGTTAAAAATGACACCCTCTAAACTTAGACTTCCTGACTGAGTGCTGATGGTCCCTCATCTGTGCCAGCTGCTACTGTCATCCCGCATGACTGATGTTCCCTTCCCAGCCTGGCCACACCTATGTGTCTCATTCCTTCTGCAGTACCTCTCCTGTTCCCTTCTCATGTTTCACGTGTTCTCCAGCCCCACACGTACCTTGTGTTTTCCCAGCTCCCACCTCGCTAAATCTTTCCATCTCCCCCAAGCCCTGCGTTTCCACGCATCCTTCACCTCCTCTGTAACCCTGCATTACACAGCCCTGGCTGCCTTCCCCACAACTCGTAGCTTTGTCCTTCTGCTCTGACCATTATCTCGGCCACGACCTCTGTGCCTCTACACTGGGGTGATGGTAACACTCAGAGATGGGGTCTCAGCAATTCCCACCGGGAGGGAAGCAGCAACAAAGGCATAGGGATGGGCGTGGTTCGGGATGCGAGACGTGAAAAGGTTTCTCTTTCTCTCTCTGCTCCGCTCTGCGTTCAGGCTGGGGTTACCTGAATCGTCTTCCGAGACAATGCTGTAGATGAAGCTCCCGGGGGGGTGCTCGGCCGCCCGGCGGTACCACAGAGGGAAGTGGTCCATAGTGAAGATACTCTCCTTGTCCTTCTGTGTCAGGAATTTCCTGCCGGGAGAGAACCCAGGGCAGCCGCTGTTCACGGGGGTGCAGGGAGCGGGACCCCTGGGGCCGGGGCAGGGCCGGGCCCTCCCTGGCCGTGAGGGGCCGCTCCCGGCCCGGGGCCGCCGCCAGGTGCCGCTGTTGGCCCGGTCGAGCCCCGGGCGGGCGGTGCCGCCGCGGATTCCCGGGACCTGCGGCTGGGAGCCCGGGAAGGAAGGGCGGGGTGGGGAGGCGTCCCCCTGCCCCACCGGGGCGGGTTATCCCAGGGGGAGCGGGGGCAGGGCCGGGAGTGCCGCAGGTGGAGCGCGGCAGGTGGGAGCGGGCGGGAAAAGGGAGCCCAGGCGGCGCTGGAGCGTGGCCATTAGTTACTGCAGGGGAACGGGGAGCAGCTGAGGAAAGGGGGATTAGGCAGTCTCCTAACAAAAACCACCCCAAGCGTAAGGTCGTGCCACTGTAGCCAAATCCCGATCTCCTCAGGAGCCCCTCTCCCAGAGCGGAGACCTCATAACAACCTTCCGGCGTCTGAAGGGGACCACAGATTCTCCCTCATTAGGAGCTGCACTGATAGGACAAGGAGTAATGGGTACAAGTTAAACGACGGGAAATTTAGGTTGGGCATTAGGAAGAAATTTTTCACTGCGAAGGTGGTGAGACACTGGAACAAGTTGCCCAGGGAGGTTGTGGATATCCTGATTTAGGTGGTGTTCAAAGCCAGGCTGGATGGAGCTCTGAGCAGCCTGGTCTAGTGGGAGGTGTCCCTGCCCATGGCAGGGAGGATGGGACTAGTTGGTCTTTAAGGTCCATTCCAACCCCTAACGTTCTATGATTCCAAGTGATGCAGGGACTGAAGTGCTTGAGCAAAGGAGTGCTCCTAAAGGCAGCAGGATGTATCCTGGGGGTATGACGAGACAAACAGTGAGTGCTCAGGAGAGACCTCGTGAAAATCAGGTCATTGGTTTCCCTGGAGGTCCCTAAAGCTTGGCTGGCAAATCCCTTTGTTTTCAGGCTCTTGTTTTGCTGTATATTTTGACGTCATGATAATTACTCATTTATATGGTTCCTTCCTTTCAGGGGATTCCAGAAGCGCCTCCTGTGTGATGTGCAGGGCTTTGTCTCAGCAGTGTGGTGACTGTGGCTGTTTGAAAGCATTGAAAGCTGCTCCTGATGAGCAGTGGGGGATAGGGAATCATCCTATTAGCCTCCTGCAGCACACGGCATTTTCTCCCTTGTTGCCAGTGACTGATTACTCTGAATTGTTCAGACTGCCTCAAAAACATGAGAAGTGTCACCTTTCAGGCACAGCAGAGCTTGAATGTAGGACTTATGTTTGGGGAACTTGGGGACAGTGAAACAGCTGCCAAGAAGTTAATGACCACAATGAACATGGTCCCCTTCTGTTCCATCTGCTGGTGTGCCTCTGTGACCTGTCCTTTCTTACAGCAGCATGCACCAGCCTGCATATTCAAAATGCAACAGAACACAAACTATACCCTTTCCATGTCAAAACCCTCCACTGAACACATGCTTTTGCCTTGAGGGAGAGGACAAGGGAACGAATTGTACGTGACAGATGTCAGTCACATCACTTAATGCCTCACTGGAAGGCACTGGGATGCTGCTGGGATGTGGGCAATGTAGGAGGCAGGACAGAATAAATCTGGAAGAGGAACTGAGATAGAAAGATCAAATATAGCCAAGCTGGAATGTCGCCGGGGCACTGGAGTGCAGAGAGCCTTTGCACTGCAGAATGGTCCTGAGGATATGTAGTAACTGTGGACATTTTCTGCACTGGCTGACTGAAGTCAGGGAACGATTGACGGTTTCCATTTAAATGACTGCACTTCGGGACACTGTTTTAAGAAAAACTCAGAAGGACCAGAGGAAGACAAAGGCCCCCTATCCTGACTCTCTGAAATCATCACCAATTCCGTCAAGGTGTTGCTTCTTTCCATTCTGTTTCTGTTTCCCTAAATACATTTCTAAGGCTGGTGGTGATTTCATGCTGCCCCTTCAGAGACACTGAGAGAAACCCCTTGATCAATTTAGGGATTTACCTGTTGGAAATTTTCTCAGAGCCCACATAGAGGGCACTCCTCATGAGTCCAGCCCGAGTGCCCAGAAATGCCATCTCAACACCTGCCTCAGTGTCCCTGTGGAACAGAAACACACAAGCAGAAGCAAACAGCTCTCAAAAGAACAGCCATGTCCTTTCCTCGGGGTGGGAGCCTTTCAAACTAGGAGCCACACCTGAAGACAGGGTTAATTTGTAATATAACCCATTTACAACAGGAGTGACAGTGGTTCCTCCCTGCTAATGGCAACAGGTTGTTGCTGGCTAACAATTGGCAGGCTTAAGACTTGTACTTAGATTCCCAGCTTTGAAGTTTGCTCATTTCATTCTCTTTTAAGTAGATCACAAGCTCCTCTCCCCGTGCTAACCCTGCTCCAGGCTACCCTCGTAAGGCTGAAGTGAAGGAGAGGAACTGCAGAGGGAGAATGGCTGGATCAGGGATGCAGAGGATGGGCAGCAGAGCAGAATGTCTCTGAAGAGAGTGTTTTGGTGTAGCTGTTTAAGGGTGTGCTAATAATTGGGTGGGTATCCTAACCCTAATCCTAATGATTGTCACTGGCTCCACCTCTGTTAGTGGTAGGGATATCAGTAACTGACACAGGAGCTCTGTGACCATATATCTGTGTAGGTAACATATTGTCTGCTGAAAGAAGATCTGTGTGACATGATACAAGATACTACAAGCAACAGGTGCGTCACTGGAAATAACAAAGTAGAAAGTTGTTTAGTGAAGCCAGCCTGTCCACTACCTTCCTGAGGCTCAGTCTGAAGGCATCACCCATAGAGACAAGACCAAACTACCTTTTCTTCACTAAAAAAAAATCCCTCACAAAAATAAAGGCTGTCCCAAGGAGGTCCAGCCTACTGGAGTTCACTCCTGAGACACACTTTCTGGGTTATTTCTAAAGCTGCTGAGCTATTTCTATCAGCTTTTTGAGCTATTTCTGAAGTATTTTGTATGCTGTGCAAGGCTCTGTGACTGTTTCAGGAACTGCCTAAGCCCATATACTCTGAAAATGCCTCTTCAGTGCTGTTTTATCCATATTTATTCCCATACACTTACAGGGACATATTGAGGGCTAATGTAGTCCAGTAGGCCTCCATGGGTGCAGTGACCACTGCATCAAACAGCACTTCCTGGACCAACTCCTCATCACCTGAGAAGGAAGGAGAACAAAAATCAGAAGAAAAAGACATGTTCCCATCAGGGTGTTTTAGAGAATCCCTTGGTAAGGAACATCTATCTGGCCAGGACAATGGAGCAATGTGGCACAAAAGGAGACCTCCCATCACAGGGCAGAGAAGAGGACCTACCTCCCTGGATGGTGGAGAGCACAGGAAGAGATGTTACTGCCAAAATCACAGAATCAATTAGGTTGGAAAAGACCTCTGAGGCCATCGAGTCCTACCTGTGACAGATCACCACTTTGTCACATGGCACCGAGTGCCATGTCCAGTCTTTCCTAAACACCTCCAAGGATGGTGACTCTACCACATCCCTGGGCAGCCTATTCCAGTTTCTAATCATCATTTCTGTGAAGAATTTCTTCCTAATGTCCAAAGTCATCAGACCAGTTCCCCTGCAAACTTGGTAGAAGGGTGGTGCCCAAAGAAGTGTAGGCAAGTGAGAGGCTTTCAAATGAGTTATTCATTAGACCTTCACTCAACCATCTCCTTTAATGAACAGGCCACTGCCTCAAATCACTACTTTGACTTTTCTTCTGGGTATCCCATAGAGAGGATACCAGCCACCACATTCCACTTAAGAAGCTTCCTGCAAAATCACTAGTGACTTCTTTATGGCCTCTACTCTGTCCCTGTGCTCACTGGCTTCTCTGTTAGCTCTGCTTCCTTCCTGTAAGCCTCACAAAACTCTGTCCTGTCCTGATTTCCACTAGATGCTCAAGCCAGTCCAGGCCACCAGTCTAATCCACTTTGGAACTAAGAAGTGATTAGCAAAGTTCAAAGTATCATCACGTGCTAAATGACTTATTCCCAAACCCCATTTCCTTGACCTGCTTCATTATTGTATTGCCCTGCTTGCATCAATCTCCTGTGAGAATATGATGACCATCATATTGCAGAAATGCCCCTTTCAGTGCTGTCCTAGATGGAAACAGCCCCACCATTTCAGTGTTTCTGGGTTGATGTTCCAGTCTCCCTTAATGTTTTATCTCAAGTTCACCTGACTTTCTTTGTCACAGCTCTCAGGATCCTTCTCTCCATCCTTGCTGTAATTCAGACCTCAAAATCAGAGCTCACCACGAGATCTTTCTCTCTCCAGGCCCCATATGTCTAAGATGTCTTCAAACCTTATCTGTTTTTCTTGCACAGCACTTCCAAGTCTGCATGTTTCTCACAGTCAGCTCTCCTGAAACTTTCCTCCTCCCTGGCCTCTTCAGCTGATACATCTCCTCTTTCCAGCCTGCTCTGAGGAGAGCCAGGTGGAGGTCTGCTCACATAGTGCAAAGAGAGGCAAAATTACTGGATTACATTCGATTTTAGTTTTAGGAGATTCCCATTCTTGTGCCAGAGGTTTGTGCCTCTCAGGTGCAGCACTACATGCAAAAGCTTGTACTTTGCACAACTGAGGGGGCTGAAGGACATCCTAAAGCTAAATTGCTGTAAGGAGTTCCCATGCACAGCTGCCCACCTCTGCCCCCTGACAGAGATCTCACTGTGGTGGTGCTGTACCAGCTGCCCATGTGGCTTCGTGTTGCCTGGAGAACCTGTTGCCTGGTGCAATGGATGAGCAGCAGGGGGAGCAGCAAAGATAATCACTCTGTGACAGTTTTTTACTCCTAGATCAGTTACCTATTGTGTTTGGAAAGCAAAGTTGGTAATCCCTGTTCTGAATCTCCCTAGATGGCACTGTGAACCCTTGGAGGATGACGACTGGGACCATGGGAAGCTGAGTAGTCTCTAGTTTTCCTGGCTCCTCCTGCCATCGCCCCGTCTAGCCCAACTGGTCAATCTGGGTTTGCAGCCCCTACCAAGCTCCTTTCAAGCCTTTCACCCTTCAGTATTTCCTATGCTGAGACCTCCAATAAGGCTGAGTTACATCTCAGCTTTGAAATGGAAAAAAAAGTCCTCTGATGGAATCAAGGGAGTGGATCCTCAGTTTGTTTCCACTTGTGAATTATTCTGGGCTTGAGTTCAGTCCTGCCTGTGTGAACAGGTGCCAAAAGAGCTCAGTCTGACACCAATCAGTTTGTCATAGCCCCCTCTCCCCTGTGATGGGTACAGGAAAACCCCAGCAGGGCCCTTTCAGTGCCTGGGACTCACATTCCAGGTCAGCGTCCTCTCCAGTGAGGAAACGGATCACAGCCTCCAGCTGGCTGAGCTTTCGGTGGTCTGGATCGATGTCGGTGATGCAGTAAATCCTGGTGGGAAGGGAGGAAGAAGCAAGAGCAAAGAGAAACCACAGTTAACCAAATGCTCCTGGAAGATAATAACTGCAAAAACAATTCAGCAAGAAACCTGACATCTGCAAAGATTTGCTGCATGGTGTGCCCACTCAAAATCTAACAGTGTGGCTGTAAGTCAAACCCTACCAGTAAACCAAACACCAATTAACCTGACTGCTGAGCTTGGTAGGGCTGCTGTGATGCTCTTCAGCATAAGCTCACAATGCAACCCAGCTGCCCCAAATCCTTCCAGCAGTTATCTGTATTACATGTTGTGTAAGATGTGTACATGTGTCTTTGTAGACCGTAACAATGTGATGGAGAGACCCGAGAAGCAGAGGGTCTTGTGTAACGTGAGTAAGACCAGACTAGGAGCAGAAAAAATGAGAGACAGAGAAACAAAATGTGAGATGAGGAATGATCTTGCAGTATGATGTGGTGACAAGAAAATCTGTCCCATGGGGACACCACTGCAGGAGCCTCTGGGCACGGTTTGGGGAGAAGCAGAAGAATGTGTTACAAATGCTCTGCATTATAAAAGAAACCAGTCTTCTAATCCTGCTTCCAATTTTGACCGCTCCGTTGTCAGGAGAGGAAGGGGTTATAAGAGAGAATTACAACTCACAAAGGGGCTGAAAGGAGTGATTTATGAGAGAAGTCTAAGAGAAATTAATATGTAAAGTGTGTAAGCTGACACCCCAAGTCAGGAGTAGAAGAAGGAGAAGTCACTGCTTGTGTCTCAAATGCGCTGCCTGTGAAACTTAGCAGTGTAATGAGAGGTGAGAAGAGGTGCAGGGCTTCTTGAATATAGTTATTTTGGCTTTGATACAGGCTGGGTTCATGTGACTGAGTGTAACTGAATGTTGGGTTCATGAAAACCCCAAACCTCACAGCAATAAATGGAAAGTGCCATGCTTCACCCTGTTTCATATCCAAACCAAGCAAAACTGTAAATTCTGCTTGCTATTGAAACAGGGGTCATAAATCACCTTCATGTTCACTAGAAATTAGGTCTAGGCTCAGTTCAGAAGAATGCCAACCAAAAATAAGCTAGGATTTAAAAAAGCATTTCAATCACTCACCAAGCTTGCAACAAAATTTCCTGACGGGTCTGACATACTGTAGGTTTTGTAAGACAATTCTGAGCAACACGAGGGGAAAAAAATAAGTCTGAGCACAGAAGACTGAGGATAAATCTCAGATGTTTGTTGGCACAGTGATGTGCCAGGTCTTGGTGGGATCTCCCAAAGGAAGAGATGGAAATGCATTTCCTGGAGACCATCATGTCTTTTCAGGTACAGCCCCTGAAGAGCACTGCTTTTTCTCTAGGCCACAGAGGGTGGTGAATGCAAGCCACGTTGCTGGGAAGTTTGCCCAAATATCATGACAAAGTCCTGTGTCACTGACAGGATCTCCTCCACTTACCATTCATTCGCTAAAGACAAGTCTGGCTGGAGCAGATCATGCAAACCTGAAAGCAGATAACACGTGTATTCAGTTAGGTACCAGACAGATACAGGCTGTGGAGGAGAAAAGTGGGGAAGTTCAGAGTAGCTGCCTTGTCCCTTGGGACAGCATGGCCCCTTCAGATTAACCTACCTTCTTCCACTGAAGTGTTCCCCAGCAGAATGTACTCCCCGTGGCCCCTGGACAGCACAACACCCAGGCTGGAGGCAGAAGGGAAAACAGAGGACTTGTCAGCAAGGAAAGGTGTCATTCCTAAACATGACGCTGCACTCCCTGCAGTAACAACCCTTAAAGACATTAACTCCCTCCACAGCTATTAAAGAAAAGAACATCATCAAAAGAGGATTAAGTGAGATCCGATTTCAGCACAAGAGGCAAAAGAACCTGTCTGTAGAGCTATGAGGCATTTCTGGTGATAATTTTTTAGCCAACATTGCAGATTCAGGTCAATGATAACACTACTCAAATCTGTGCCAGTTTCAAACCATTTCAGCTGGGGAAAGAAAAACCAACCCACAAGCAATCACACACACAGGCTTTGCTTGATTGGTTATTTGATGTTTTATAATTTTCAGTTTATAATAATGTTGGGTTTTTTTAAAGCCATACACCAGAACATAAACCATATTCAGTGGAATGGAAAACTGAAGATGTCTTATTTCTCTGAAACGAAATATGATTCACCCAAGGCATAGCTTTTGTATTCTGAACTTCAGATAAATCATAATATTCCTTTTGAGTTGACCCCAAACAATATTTTAATGGCTATAGGAAGAAAGAAGTCAGTTATTCACACTGCTCTGCTCATGAGTTGTAGCCAGTTTGGTGAAGAAAAGGGACCAATCTGCTGTCCATGATCATACTTCTGATACACTGTGTTGGTGTCACATAGTCCTTGCTCACCTGAAGGGTGTGCCACTGATGTCCGTGAAGAAATAATCATTGGTGAGGAAAAGAACTCGTTTCTGGAATAAGAGCAGGAATAAGAAAAGTGAGAGACCATCTGACAGACCAAGAGCATGGTGGTGGTGGGGACCAAGGATATGTGTCCCCAAGGCTAAGCAGAAGCAGTCGATCATTACCAACACTTCACACCCTGCTAGGGCTGGCTGGAAGCAGGGATGAATGTGCAGTATTCAGCATATCCAGCTCTTTCAGGATCCAGGCAGCCACTCTGTCTTTCCAACTAGGGCTTCAGTTAAACCTTTCTTTGCTCTGGAGCTCCTGCACCGGTTGCAGGAAGGGGTGGGGGGAAGCTGCCCTCCCTCTCACACCCTCCAAGCCAACATGCTGGGGCCCTACTGCTCTTTTGCCATACACAGCAACCTTGACAGCTTTGCACATCATCATCATCATCATCTCCAGCAGGAGGGGGGCTCAGTGGGGCACGTAGAAAGATGGCAAACATACCCACTGTGTGTGTGGGCAGCTGGGGCCAAGTCTCCCCACTCCTGTGGGAAATACTAATATTCCTGACCTTTGCTTTCATGCCAAACTGGGACAAGACATTAGCATATTCCAATTTTGTTAAAAAACATCAGTAAAAAAAAAATTTACGTTTTAAATTTGGAAAAAAAAATGCTGATTCAAATCCAAGCCGTTTTGATTCACATGCAAATATTTTTTTCAGACTGACATTTCAGATTATTGAAAGCTGCTTCAGAACTTCATCTGTTTGCCAGACTGGCCTTTTCCTGTAGGAAAGTGTTGATTTCAGTGGAACTCTTTTCCAAAGGAGAAAAGTTTTTGGAAAGTTTCTATCCAAGCCTTATGCCAGTATATGAACCCTAATATGTTTAAAATCCTAGACCCAGTCTGAAAACGAGGTGAGAGGATGTGTGTGGGAGACAGGGGAGTGAACACAGAAAACTCAGTGTTCCCCAGGGAGAGTTGTGCCTGCTCTAAGCTGCTGAAGCCGTGCAGCAGTGGAAGTGGAGCGAGGCACAAAGGATAAGCCAGCTCCAGCTCCACAGCGAGCACCGACTTTGTGCTTATTGGGCTGATGGAGATGGGGGATATTTTTAGGTGAAGAGGTGGCAGGTGGCTCAACCCCTTCCCTCCTCTCTCTCTCTCTCTCATCATGTATGACAGCTCTATACTGCTGAGCAATGGGGTCTTTGTGTCAAGATCACACGGAATCATTTAGGTTGGAAAAGATCTCTAAGATGACCGAATCAAACCTTTGACCAATCACTACCTTGTCAACTAGCCCAGAGTACTAAGTGCCATATCCAGTTGTTTGTTGAACCTCTCCAGGGATGGTTGGTCACTCCAGCACCTCCCTGGGCAGTTCATTTCAATGTTTAATAACTCTTTCAGTGAAGTGATTCCTCCTGATGTGCAAGATCTTCCAAAGTGCTGTGATACCCCTGAAGAACATGACATGGTGATGTTTTGAGGTAGAAGAGGTATTAATCCTCCCTTTTCTTGCCTGTCTGATCTGATGGTGGAGGCAGGGAGGCATGGAGAAGAAGATCTGGCCACTATTCTGATACCCTTTCCTTTAGCCAGGCTTGTCCTGCTCATCCTTTGTTCCCCTGACCTGCCCCTCTTCTGCACATGCAGCCACTCAGCACTTGCAGCTTGAGGGAGGGAGGGCAAACCTCTTTTTGGGCAAGAGGAGAGAGGAGGTGGCCAGCCTGCTCCAAGACAGCTGGAGGTATCACCACTTATCCATGGAATGGAAGAGAAGCAGAGGCACCCTTGAGCCAGGCAGGGCTGAGGATGGTCAGACAGGACTTTGCTACAGAGTGGGGATCAAGGGAGAAGAGAAGAGCATGGGCATGTTGGCACCATGCCAGGATAGCTGACTACCATCCCCTGCAGTCTGGGAACATGTGTGTTTCCAGTTTTGGTGTTGTCACTGTATTAGGTATCCAGTCCTGGCTATTGCCACTGCCAGTGGTTTGCCACAGCTCCTACCCATGTCCCCGCTCTTTAGCTTTCACAGTCACAAGTCTTTTGTACTCCAGCTGCAAGCAAAGGCATTTTTGCCACTTGATCTCTCTAAAAACTGCCTCTTGTATTTGTTCCTTATTTTCCCCTCTCTGTCTCACTCTGCTCTCAATACCTTCCTGAGATCAACCTGGGAAATCGATGTTTACGTGGTTGACAGAATAAACTCTATCCCTTCATTCAGGCCTTCTCTCTGCAGTCTGACTGCCTCCTTCTCTTTGTTTCAAGGCTCTGTCATCACTTTCTTTGTTTCAATGCTGATCTGCTTCATCAGCTAGCAGGGGAAAAGTGGGAGTTGCTAAATTTCATTTCTGGTTCTCACTGTGTGTATTCTGATAATAATAAAACTGTCACATACTTCAGTTTCCTGTTGTGCTTCATAAGGCTTCCAGTGTTGCAGAATGAAACAGGTAATTCCTCTCTACCAAGGCTACTTTTTGTTATCTTTTTTTCTTTTTTTTTCCTCTGGGTAGAGGAGCAGAAAGATGTCTCTAAAATATTGAACTAAAAAGATATCACTGGATGACTCAGAAGTGTTGTTGATGCTGCACAGAGACAAAGAGGTTAAGCTAGCAAAATAAGCAATCTTGGCTTACAAATAATAGATTTTGCTTGAAAACCTTGATTGCTTTTCTGACAGAATAACTAAGGTAGAGGAATGAAGGAAATAAAGGACATGCAATGTATGTGGGTCTATATAAAGCACTTGAAACAGCTTCTCATGAAATTTTATTCTAAGGAATCTGTTAAAGTGGGCTTAAAAAAGATACGAAGTGAGAACCAGCTGCAGCATTGTAAACAAAAAGAAACAGTAAACAACAGGCTATCAAGGGAAAAAGATCTAATGAGAGGAACAGACAGACTCTGCCTTAGCAGCCCTTATGTACAGGGATCTGCAAGACAAAATAAAACAACATTTCTCTGCATACTGAATAAAAGTCTCAACAGACCTTAAAATTAGAAAGGCTGGATGAAGAGGAGGAGTGGGTTTCTTGTGGAAAAATGGCAACTGGAAAAAAATAGCTAAGAAACACAGAAGTGAAGGCGGCAATTCCAGCGGAGCTGTGGGAGGGAGGAAAAATTGAAGGGACAGGAGAAAGGAGATTTGGGGCTCCCTGTTCAGAAATATTTCATTGCAGAGAATATATGCTCTCTAAAGAGCAACAGGGAAACAGAACTCTAATTCAGCAAAGCCCTGGTACTTGTGCACCAGAAATTATAAAAGACACGAAGAGAGCAAACACAATGGCTGAATTGCTTGGACTGAAAAGTGTGCAAATATTTCAAATGTAGATGTTGGTAATGCCTGGGAGAAGAAAGGCCAAGCCATTGACACGAACCTGAGAGTTGCAAACTCCAAGAATAGAGAAAATGTAGTGACCAGATCTTGCAGTACAACCATTGAAAGGAAACAGAGGGGTGTCTTCATTAGGAAGTGGCACTATTTTCAGCAGTGGCTGCGAGCAGTTTGTTGGAATTGGTGCTGACTGTGGCTTAGCATGAGAGCAGTTCAGCCAGCCACTGAAAAAAATACTCTCTGTAAAGGATGGAAAATTTTCCTGAAATATGGAAGACTTCTGGGCAGTGTAACTTGCAGGACTCTGGAATACTTCCTAACAGGAAATGATGAAAGCCAAAATCTTTAAGAGAGTTAAATAAACCTGAATGAAAAAGTACCAGTGAACATAAATGTACAAGATAATCTTGCACTGATTCCAAGGGAAGATGTATAACCCTACCCTAGAACTGGTAGGGAATGTTCAGAAGTCTACATTTCGCTAGGATTTTTCATAAAACATCTGCAAATATTTGCATAGAAATTTAATCCTGGCCCTGGATAAAGGAAATCACATTCTGACAAAGTGAGGGACAAAGTTTTCATGAGTGGTTTTGGGTAGGGAAAGGGAGTGGCAAAATAGTCTCCAAACTTCTTTCTGTCTAGCTCAGATCAGCATCATCTTCCCCATTCTAAACTCTTGATACTCTCCTCTCACAGCCCCATAAACAGTGAACAACATGCTTTTTGGCTTTGCCTGGAAAAAGTAGGGAGCTGAGAGGTGTTTCCAATACTTTTCTAAGAGCAGAATATTGGTAGGTGTAAGGAGCACTTCTAATGATGCTTTTCTAGATGTCTTTAGCACACGAGTTATGTATGTGGTGAAACAATAAAATCTTCACACTCAGAAATACTGAGCATTAGCACCACATCCTTTGTGGTTCTTCAGCATCCACTTCCCATCTGCTCTCTCGTGTGACCTGAACAGAAGGATAATTTCTTACCCCTTTGTCCACAGGGACCTTCACATCCATAGAGAGGTAGCCTGTTTCCCCATTGATCATGGCAGTTCTCAGCTGCAGAAGTGAACAAGTTTGGTATTAGTGTCTCCAGGCAGGGCAGGAATTAATAGACTCACTTGTCATTAACATACAGTGGCTGGCAGAAAGAGTGACTGTAGCTTCCCTCTCCTTCCCAGCTCTTTCTTGCTTCCTTTAAACTGAAAACCTGTTCTCGGTGGTCAGAATCCTTGTTCAGTCAGGCTGATAAGTGACAAAGGGTAGTAATGGTTTATGCTGAAAGCCTGTTGATATGTCTTTTTAGCACAAAGAAAGGGTCTGGAATCTATGAAATTGCCAGTCTGAGTTTCAGACTTCCCCGTTTGGCAGCCAGAAAGTCATTAGCACAGTGCTTTGAGAGCCTGGAAGAGGAGACAACTGAGAAACTCACTAACTCCCCCGGACTGAATCCAAAGCTCTTTGACATTTTTAAAACTGATTTATAAATTATAGGCTGTATTCAGCACCACTTCTGAGGTGCAGCAAAGCAGCTGTTTAGCGCAGCAAGGCAAGACTGTATGTCAGCAGGGTAGGCAGTGAGAAGACCACTTTATTCAATCCAGGTTCCAAAATTTAATTTTCACGGTGACTCCCAGCCTCTTGCAAGAAAGAGCCAGGAAATTTTTCCACAAGTGCAGAGGCTTTGACTTCAGGCCCAGCCTGCCAGAGCATATCAGTCTATTGCTTCAGCCTGGATAGAAAAAATAGGTGGGAAGTAACTTATTCATTCACACAAATTGTTTCCTTACTTCCAGAGACAGGCCTCCATTCAGGTGCTAGCCAGTCTCGACTGCATTTGCTTTACAAGGCCACGGCTTTGTTTACTATGTCTGTTTGATGTGGGTTATTTACAGACCTAGAATATAAAGCTCATGTTTCCCAAGGCCCCCATCTTGGAAATGAAAACACTGACTGGTACTATTACTCCTTTTTGGCTAAGAGTTGTTTGACCTCCTGCCAGAGCCACGGCATACTCTCTGTTCTGGTCTGACAGCCTGCAGCATTTGCTGTGGGTTCTGGATTTAGAATCATTGAATATCCTAGGTTGGAAGGGACCCACGAGGATCATCAAGTCCAACTCCTAGCCATGCACAACACAGCCCCAGTAATCACATTTTGTGTCCTAGAGTGTTGTCCAAAAACTTCTTGAACTCTGTCAGGCTTGGTGCTGTGACACTTCCCTGTTCCAGTGCCCAACAACCCTGTGGGTAAGGAACCTTTTCCCAATATCCAACCTAAACCTCCCCTGACTCAGCTTCATGCTGTTCCCTCTCACTGTCACTGCTCACCAGAGAGAAGAGATCAGTGCCTGTCCCTCTGCCTTCCCTCATGAGGAAGCTGTGGACTGCTGTGAAGTCTCCCCTCAGTCTCCTCATCTCCAGGCTGAACAAACCAAGTCACCTCAACCATCCCTTATATGTCTTCTGCTCTAGACTCTCGACCCTTTCCCTTTTCCCCCTCACACTGTGAATATCCCTGTGTTGCTTCACAAGCAAGCCCAAACCCTTGCTGCTGCCTGGCTGCAGATAGTACCATTGTGCATCACTTGGTATTTTCCAGACAATCCATCTTCCCTCCACTGGATTTCCTTTTAGCAGCTGGCTGTATTACACATCATTAGCACTTGGGCATATTTTTCCAGTCTGAATTTGCTGCTTATCAGTGTTGCTGAGATTGTACTGCAACTGATGTTGAGTCTGTCATTGATCTAATACCATAGCTGCAAATCTGAGTGTTGAAATGTTGGCAGCTTTCTGCTGCAGTGGGTGTATCTTGAGAGTCTCTAGACTTGCTGAAGTCACACTGCAGATATAGTTCACGTCATTGAATGTCTCTGTACCCTCAGTGACTGCAACCTTTCTTTCTTCTGGAAGGTGCAGCAGAGAAACACAAAGTGGCTTTATTATTCATGCCTGTTTCATGACTTTTTCCCCTCCGTGGTTAGTTTTATTCTGATTGCCTATGGACAAAAGCCTTACACTTTGCATCGTAGTTGCATTCAGGTATCAGTGTTATTTGGTCAGACAGGAACCTGCTAGCCAAATAAATAGGAGAGCAAAGCAAAGCTCTCTCATTTCCCGGATTATTATTTCTTTTTTTAATAGCAAACTAGGTAAAGAGCAACAGCTCTAAAAGTGGTTCCAGTGAGAGAAAAACTACAGTGGGAGCAGAGCTCCTATAAGTTATCAGTGGACCTACACAAAGCCATTGGCAACCAGCATCTTGGTGGTGCCACTACATGTAAAGCCTCTTATTTTGTCTTGCTTTCCATGTTTCACACCCACTTCTGCTGTGTTTTCTTTCTGAATTTTCCACTCTTCCCCTTCCCAAGTTCCTTTGGTGTACCCATTGCCCTAGTGGCAGTGGCTACTTTGATCCTGTTGCTGGTCAGTTTGTTTGTCCTACCTGTTTAAGTGGATATCTATAGCATCAGATCCGTTTATCTCAGCAGTTTCCCCTGTAATCCAGAAGCATCTGTCTCACAGCTAATTCTGTCTTACTCCAAATTCAGTTCTTATCTTAGTAACTTAAGTATCTCTTTTCTCCTACTTCTTCTGAGTAAAATAAAACCAGCCACGGAGGAACCTCACTACCTTCTCATTTTATCTAGGTTCCTAGTTATACAAAGCAGCACTATGCAGCTATTAAGATGCATGCTCTTTCTTGTCTATCATTTTTTAATAATTTTTGTCAAAAGACAGTAGAAAAGGTATTTTCTAATCTTTTCCCTCTGGTCAGCTATTATTTTCTGTGCCTCTACACCTGTGAAATAATGTGATTTCTGAAAATTTGTTTTTCCTAAGTGCCTAAGTCCCTTATCCTCTTTGTCTGGTATTGATAGTAACTCCAAGCTCTAGACTCTTTTTGAGTGAACTTTCTTCCTTGCTGCAGATCTCATTAGTTGAGTGGTTTCAGCTGTATCTCACATCCTGCATGTATGGGTAACATCACAGGACAATGCCAGACTCCTAAAGCTACCTTGGGTTTGTATTAAGGCAGCATTTGGGCCATGTATGCTCAGACTGGCTCCATGGAGCACCCTCCAAAGCACTTCCTTCCTTGTGCCAGCACTTTCCCTCTTTGTTGCTGGTGAAGGTAAACTCCTACTGGGATGGAAGCCAAGCACTTTGCAGAGTAGTTTCATCTCTTGTCCTCTTTTAGAACACCAGCCTCTCTTACTCAGAGCCAGTTCAGGCACAGAAAAACACAGGAATGCCCACTGCTCCCCCACACCTTCCATACAGGCAAACAAAGTAAAAGAAAGAAGGAACTACAAACAAGGCTAAATTCACTTTCTGATACTCACTATTTCCTCCCGGTCTTCCCATTCCACTTCTGAGAGATCTACGCTGTTGTAGTTTGGCTTAGGCTTCAGTTTCTTTCCTTCTTTGTACTGGTGTTTATTGGAGGGGAAAAAAAAGAAAAAGAAAGAAAAAGAAAGGAAAATAGCCAATAAGTGGCTAGATAACTTTCTAAACTAACCCTTTAAGAATTGGTTGAAGAACAAGGGTGTCTCATTTATTCTCTGACTAGGAAGGCAGCCTTTGTGCAAGTGCCTTCTTGGTCCTATGTCATGTATTTCTTTACACAGGCAGTGAGGGGCTAGGAGAATTCAAATGGGAGAGGTTGATCCTGGAAGAAGGGAGAAACACAGGTAAACTTGCAGGTAAAGGCTATGGCCTCCTTCTTCTAAACAGATCAGTACAACACACTTGCCTCCAGAAAACCATTTTTTTCCCTGCAGCTCAGAGTATAAACCCATTAACATTATAATACCAGCAGGAGATCTTTCCTGACAGGAGTTAGGTTTTGACCCCACTGAGGGTAGACTTTTCACCTAGAGCTAACTGATGAAAGAGAGCTATTTCATTGTCATCTTCCAAGTGAGGGAAAAGGCGTGAAGCAGACTGAGAGAGGCCAAGTTAAGGTGGAAGGATAAAGCATTGCCCCTGCCTAGCTTTGCCTTGGCCTGTCCCTGGAAACACAGTGCACCCCTTCTCTTCCCTGTGCCAGTGGTCTCCCTGTGCAGAGCTGCCTTTTTGCAGACAGCTGCTGTGTGGCCCTTTCTCTTGCCGGTGACCACGCTACCCCTCAGAGCTGTGTGCAGGTGGATTTGTGCCAACCGGCACGTGTAGGAAATGTAAAATCACTGCGTGCCTGGCTCTCTGACTAACGAGGCCAGCTGTGTGTCTGCAAACAGATGGGTGGCCTGGAGCTCCCCATGGCACCATGAGGGAATAGCGCTGTCCTTATGTCCACTCCCTCGAGTCCCAGAAGGTGTTTGCAATCCACTGGTCTCTGACTTACCGTGTTACTAATATTGGTGGTACACACCCTGCTAGGCTCAGAATCCTAAAATGTCCAAATCCTCTGGGTAGTTATTACTGGGGTGCTACTCATGCTGAATCTCCCCGTAGGAGATATGCCTGAGCAAGGGGACCTGTTTCTGCAGCCTAGCAGTGAAACCTTGCATGGGCACAGATACATGTGCACCCACAGTGCAGCAAGGGCACACAAATACAGCCCTCACATGCAGTCCTACAGAGAACAGGGAGGCAGGGTACCCTGTGCTTCATACCCATGTGTATACAGATATATGTCTATATATATGTCTATTTATTTTCTCTGGCCCTCTTGCTCCTGGGTGCCTTTATATCAGAGCCTGGTAGCCTTCACAGCTCAAAAAAAACCACCCCAAATTGGAAGGACCCCTGAAAGTCACTGTTTTCAAGTCAGCAAAGGTTCTCAGATTCGCAGCTATACGTACCAAAGGACGGAGGTCTGGGTGGGAAAGGATGTAGCCGTTGTTGGTGTTCAGAAAGGCGTATCCATGGACACCCAGCTGAAGAAAGAGGCATTAGAATGATTAGTGCTTTAGCTAGAAACAGTGCTGTGTAATGGGTCCCACTAATACTCTGGCACCACTGATAGTCAGAAATATTTTCCTTTTATAGGTACTGACCAGCAGAAAAAAGGGTCCATCCCAAACCATTTATCTCCAGATCTCTGACTGCTCTGTCCAGGCAGACTCACTGTGCTTGGATGCACAAAAGGATGGACAGGTAGTTGGTTTTGTGTACACATCCAGAGAGAGATGCCCTCCTACAGTCTGACTGTCCTTGTGGACAATCACCACCCAGAGGCAGACTGAGCTCTCCACAGCAGGCACAGCAGAGCCACTCATAAAAAGGGCAGCGATGGGGAATGTTGTAAATGTTGTAAACCGCACAGAAACTGCAGTGACAGGTCTGTGTGCCCATCACTACGTGTGCAGAGCAGTGAATGAACAAGTGAGTATGAAGCTCACGGACGGCTTCCCTGGAAACCCGGTCGGCCTTGAGAGGAGCTCTGCATTATGTTTCAGTGTTGGCAGGACCAGACCTAGCCTAGGCCAATTGTACAAGCCTGTAGTCTTAAAATGCTTTTTAAGGAATAGCATAATCTAACAAGAGCAGGCACTGTCTGACCTGATCTGCAAGAGATTTCCGAGAGAGCAATTACTCAGCTCAAGCCCATATATAATACAAATTCCAGCTAAAAGTCTGCAGATAGCCTGTGCTTGCCAAAACAAGAGGTGTCTCAAGGAAAACAAGAACGGCTAAGGTTTCTATCTTCAAAAAAATGTTGCAACTTTATTTTCCTAGAGAGACAATCCTGGAGGGATAACAGTAGGAAAGTGAGGAGGTAAGTCATTTACAATCCGTCTGTGCATTCAGGGAATGAATTCTGTATTTCACACATCCCAGATCAAAACTTTGGACTGTCTCTGTGTGAAGCAGTTTTTTGTAAAGCACACTTGGCTCAGCTCAGCGTGGCAAGAATGAAACCAAGACACTGGATCAGCAAACTTCTTTTTTGCCTGTTAAAGCTGAAACTTCCCAGCCAAGTAAGCATGATCATTAATACACAAGCTCTTGAGGGCTGGAACTCTGGAACTGGTCCTTTTGCAACCCATATTCCAGGGAATTCAAGTTGAGAGTCCTAGGTTTCTAAACTGCCTTGGAGTTGGAAGAGCTTCTGGGAAGATGTGTCCTGCCTTTGATGTAAAGAAATCCAAATAATTTTCCCTCCTTCCCTGGCACTGCTTGGAGGAAAGAACTGTGTCCCTTCTTGGGCCAGAAGAAAGATTATTGTGACACCTGGCCTTTGAGTGACATGGAGAGAGGAAGATGAAAAAGTATCAATCTTACACGAAAAATAAATGTATAAAAATTGAAACTCCTAGACAAGGTTCCCCCAGGCCCAAATCATCCAGCTTTTGCATGCTGAATGCACGCACCCTGACACTCCTAGTTCCAGGATTGCCTGAAGGATCATTTCCTGCAGCTTCATGTTAATAGTCTGCTGTGTATCCATGTCTGGGAGCGCCACAGAAATTCATAGCTTCTGACAGCACTTTCAGTCCTGTGAGCCTTCAGCAATCAGGTTTTGGGCAACTGCCTAACTGGTAGTAGCTGTCTGATAGTTATTTAAGAGAAACTGAAAACTTGAAATGATGGCTCAAATTTCCTCGTTTCGTGGTGGTCCTTGGATGGGTTTGTTGTCTCCTGGTGTGCAGCCTGACTGAGCAAAGGGTCACTGCACGGAATTGACAGCAGAAACCAAACTAAACAGTGCATCTCTGGAGGGATTTTCTGTGGATGAACATGAGGGGTTTTTTAGATGCACTGAATATAGAGCTAATGGAAAGCTTTTTGACAAACAAGTCTGGGAAGCATATACTCTACCTAGGTGCAGCAAAAGTCAGTGAGAGCCAACTTTCTGTGCACTGTCCTGCCAAAAAATCTTCATGCTGATCTGGAGAAAGAAACCTCTTTAGGCATGACAGAAGAGTTGGCTCTCCACAATCCATTCAGCCCTCACTTTTTCTCCAAAGAATATTGACAGTGAAACCAATACATTTTTTGCCAGCTGGCAATGGCAACTCTTGTCCACTGGGAACTGGATATAAAACTTTAATTCCTCTAAGATAGGCTGTCATTTCCAAGGGCTCTAGGTTGGTGACCATCAAAACGCAAAACTTCCAAAACATTTTGCCAGTCTACTGGATCATCCAGTTCTTGTGTTCCTGATGCAGCCCAAGAGCTTCTAGTAGTGAATTTCACTGGTGCTATACAGAAACCACACATCACCACATCCAGAATCTCTTCCCTTATGCTCATAGTTTTCCTTACAGGCACAGAAATGATTTTTCAGTCATGCCCATGAGAGAATGATTAACAACTTTTCTGTGCAAAAGAACAAATTGCATTGTCTGAGTCTTACCTTATACCGTGGAGCAAGTTTTAACAACTCCCTCAGTGGTACATCAGAGCCCACCACACCCAGAAGAATGCCATGAGATCGCTGTAAACCAAAGGAGAATCCATTTTCAGAAGCAAGACCTGGGTAGTTTTCTACCTGAAAGCACATTGTCTTCCTACTAGTCTCTCACGTAGCCTCTCTATGCTTGTGTGAGTGTCTTTATTTAAAACCAATTAACATACTTCAAAAAGTCTAAAGAAGTTGTTCCAGGGTTTATGGAGAGGAGTATTTCTACACAATACTAGTCAGTACTATTTACTAGGGTTCAGAAGCATCATAAAATCACTGAAAACAAGTTTTGAGGGCAAACCCCTGCATTCAGTATGTATAAATAGCAATAAGGTCAAGACAGTCACGCAACAGAACATAGATTGGTTGATAACTTGGGTCAACTAAACCAAATACCGAATATAAAATAGGAAAAAGAAATTCCCCCTCCACGATATGGGAAACTGGTTGTTTAATTAGCATTATTAATGGAGCATGATGGAAGAATGACACACAGACTCCCACTGCACCACCGTGCCAATACAGTCTAAGGCCAGCCTCAGGTGGAGAAGGCAGACAGTTGTTTGTAAGACCTGCATGAAGAGTTTATCCCTCATACAGCAAAGGAAAGATACTGTCCACCATTTTAAAAGGATGCTGAGAAACAAGAAATTGTACAGAAAAGAGTGTCCAATGGGTTTTGAATCCCGGAGGAAATGCCCTTATCATAGACATTTAAATAATTCAGCCTTTTTATCTTATCAAGATAGGCAGGTTTGACTTTATGGCAGTGTAGGAAATGCTTCCCAGGAGAACATGCCAAAGGGTACAGGCTTTTTGATCTAGCAGAGGAAGCCATTATGACAGGAAAGTGAGACCAGACAAATTGAAAGCAGAATTTAGACACCGGTTTTTAGTGGAGAGTGAGAAACCACAATGGAGAGCTTGCTACTGGATGCTTTTCTTCAACGCCGTTTTTGCCAAAACCGGGTTATTAGGCTCGTCAAGGACTGTCTGTGTGAAATGTAAAGGTCTGCAGTAAAAGAGTCAGACTAGACAAGGTAATGATTTTTTCCAGCCTGAAATTTTAGGGTCAATGAACTAGGCACATTTTGAAAATGGAAGGGATAAAACAAAGATAAATGTCATATTTAAGAGGTATTTTGAAGAAATAGCATTCAGAGGACGTGATAGGCTATCATTTTGGCAGATAAATTATCAGCCATCCATCCTGCCAGAGGTCTGTCGCACTTTCCAGTGGCTGGAATGTTCTTTCAGAGCCCTATTGGCTTTAATACCCTGCAAAGGTCCACTGCATCCTGTCACCTCTGCTGGCTGGGAGGACGGCAAAGCCCACCTTGCACTCACCGTCTCATTCTTCTTGCTGAAGACTGGCATAGCCACCGTCGTCATGAGCAACAGACTTTGAGCCTGAGATGCAAAGAGCTGCCACAGAATAACGGAATGTGTGTTAGCAAGTGCAGTAACATTCCCAAATGGAAGGCACTGGAATTCCCGAGGACCCCAGATGCTGATTACAATTAGCCACCTCCTTGCCTCCCACACTCCTCGACAAGCCAGATGGCAGCACTTTTAAATACTCTGTATCCAAGAGGATGGTGGGGTGGATGCTTGCTCGTGTGAGGTGATGAGGATGGGATTAAAGCCAGTGAAATATGTTGAAGCAGGAGAAATTGAGGAGTTGTTTTAATGAAGAGACAGGAACCTGTAGAAGTGGTGGCACAGTTTATACCCACCACGTGTTAGGAGTGCAGACATGAGCACTTATGCAACAAGTGTAAAAACCACCAACACAAGGAGCACAGAATGGAGCAAAGCAGCACAAATGTGAGCAAAACCACAAACAAGGTATTGTCTATATTGCAAACATATGAATACCACAGATGAAAAACACCACAGGCAAATATTTAACAGGCACAAGTACACACAAAGCCTACTTATATATACTTGTTACTCAACCATCTAAGTGTAGGAAAAACAGAGACAAAATCATGATCCAAACAGATACAAAGGAGCGAGCTATCTCTATGAGGGATACAGGACACGCACATGTAACGGGGTAAGAGATGCTCCCAGTGCTCTAAAAACACACATGAAAGGAGGTAAACAGGTAAGACACATGCAAATGAGTCTCCCAAACATGCCAAGCTTTCAAAAGAATCGAAGTCATTGTTGGCAGTAGCACCCCCCCCCCCTTTTCTCTCTCATTTGGTCAAATAAGTAGCAAGGCAAGAAACGACCTCCTGTTCTTCATTACAATACATGCTGGGGGCCATAAAGGAGCCAGTCAATAATCTGTACAGTCACTTGATGGGGATTTGTGCCTGATATCTTGAGGTACTATTCCAGATGATTTTTTGTGGAAACTTCCCATTCACAGCAACACTCGCACTAACACATGGCAAGTAAACTTCCCTGGCACTTACTGGACATATGGAAAAAGGTGAACTAAGCTACTGCACAACACAGACACCCCTACCTACTCTGAGCCAGCAGCACAGCACAGCTCCCCAGTACATCCAGCATTTCCTCTCCTCTTCTTGCCAGTGCAAGAGGACTCTTTCAGTGCTGTGGCCACCACCCTCCCCAAGATGTACAGGCCAGCTGTGGCTGTGAACGCCGGCACTGACACACCAACTGGCACAAGGGAAACAGCACGCTCACAAAACACGGGGGTGCAGTTACCTCCTCAGACTGTGGCAGCTAGTGAGAGACATGGATGAACACATAAATGAATGCATGAATGGAGGAATGAATCAAAGATGGGAGAGGCTGGGACAGAGGAAGGGAACAGCAAGCCAAGACACAAGGCAAGAAAAGAGATGCAGCAACAAATGTGCAGCAAACAAATCCCTGTGGCTGCCCTGGGAAGTGTGACCCCATACACCAGTGCCAGAGGTGACAAGCCCACTGATAACATAAACTTTCTGGGTAATTAGTAGCATTTCTGGAGGTTTTGCCTAGTACATTCAACTACCATGTCCCAGCTCTCACTTGGCAGCAAAGACATCTCCATTTCACTCTCCCAGAGCTGGTGTGCCATGGCTGCAGCCTCAGTGGTCAGACACAGAACAAAAGTGGGGAGTGGTCCCTTCCTACAAGAGTCTCCCAATTACAACATTTATACACCATGATGGCACAAGCCTGGCAACCGTGGAGATATTTCTTGGGGTTCCTGTGGTCTTGACTCTGAGCACAGCATTGAGCACCACCATGTGTGACTTGGATTCCTGCTACAAACCCAAATACACAACCCTAGTTTTATTCAAGCTCAAAGAGCTCATGTTTCTCACCGTAGATCTTAAACCTGAAAACTGTGTGTGTTCCCCAGGGCTGCTGGGGAACGCCCTAAAGCTGCTGTTGTCCAGACTGGAGCCTGCAACTACAGTCCCACATCGGGGTTGTGTACAGAAACATTCTCAATGTTTCATAGAATCATAGAATAGATTGGGTTGGAAAAGACCTCCAAGATCATCAAGTCCAACCCCTGATCCAACTCTAATTACTATATCATGGCACTAAGGGCCATGTCCAATCTCTTTTTAAAAACTTCCAGGGATGGTGAATCCACCACCTCTCTGGGCAGGACGTTCCAATGCCTGATCACCCTCTCTGTAAAGAATTTCTTCCTAACATCTAACCTAAACTTCCCCTGGCAGAGCTTGAGCCCATGTCCCCTTGTCCTGTTGTTGGTTGCCTGGGAGAAGAGACCAACCCCCACCTGGCTATAACTTCCCTTCAGGTAGTTGAAGAGAGTGATGAGGTCACCTCTAAGCCTTCTCTTCTCTAGACTAAACAATCCCAGCTCCCTCAGCCTCTCCTCATAGGACTTGTGCTCAAGTCCCTTCACCAGCCTGGTTGCTCTTCTCTGGACCCGCTCCAGCACCTCAATATCCTTCCTGAATATTCTAGAATATTCTTCTCATCCTCAGACAGAATAAACAGTCCTGAAACCTCAGGTTTGTTTCTGGAAGAGGGAAAGCTGACTTCTGGTCATCTCTAGCTGTCCAGAAGGCAGGCACTTCTCTGGGGTGAAGAATCCAATACAGGGAAAAAAACTATCTCCCACATAGAGGGCACAGAGAGCCACAGAAGAAAAACTGTGGCTTTCCCTTTCAGCAGTGTAAAAAGGGGTGGAGATGGAGACTGAGGAACATCTGTTTGGTGATGTGCAAGGGAAGGTGGAAGGTTCCTTCATCTACTCCTTTGTCCTTCCCTTCACTCCTCTGAATTTCAAAGCTGCCTTAGGAACACCATGTGATGACAGCACCTGCTCGTGGTGCAAGACAGGGCAGGCCTAAGGCAAAGCAAGGGGCGTTGGGAGTGCTGGTTGTCTGGTCCTTTGAGATGTGTCCTTGGCTCTCAGGGCTGGGCACAGGACCATGGTGGTGACAGGTCTTGCTAGTGCAAGGAACAAAAGAGAAAACCTGCTTCCCCAGAGGAAATCTATATCCTTGAGAGGCAGGCAGTGTGCAGTTTAGCTCCTGGTCTGGAGGAAATCAGTCTCTGTGACCCATACCCTGAGCCATGGCTAATCTTTCCTGTGAATAATTCTTTAGAAGGTAACCTGCTTTCACAGAAGCACTACTTAGGTGACGTTGTGCCTGTGTGATTAGTCCTGGGCACTTGGGTCACTGCAGACTCAGATCTGAGTCTGCATAGACACCTCAGCTCCAGCAGCGAGTAGAAAAGAAATATTGCCTGTATCAGCAGAGCCAGGGACCAGTAATTTCTATCCACCAGCCAGCTCCCGGTATTACATAAATTTCAGGGCTTTATTTAGATTCTGATACACATAAGATATTTAGATGGGAAGCAGGGGTAAGTTATATGGCTAACATACTAGCCGTGTGCCTAAGACCTGTGCCAGCTTGGCCCACAGGCCCTGCTGTTTGCTGAGCAAAGGCTCGTGCTGCGGGTCCTTACCGCGCTGTCCATGTAGGCCTCGGTCCAAATGATGTCGTGGTCGTGGTTGATGACCATGGGGCGGCTGAGCACGTGCAGGTACTCCATCACGTTCTCCTGGACGTCTGCCAGCGTGGAGATCTGAGTGTAGTAGCCTTTGTGGAGAAACAGAGGCTTGAGTCACTCTGCTAACGCATCTTCTGTATTTTTACAGAAGTGTGGGTGCAAAAAGAACTAGAAAACTAGATGATGTCAAACACTCCATCTACCTTTTTACAAAAGCCTTGGCATGCCTTGTATTCATAAGCTTCTGTGGGCACACGTTTCTGCCGAAATCTAGTTTTGAAGCATGGACTCTGTTCTCTCAGAATACTGAAGCAATGCTCAAGACTTGAGTCTTGACATAACCAGATTTATGCAAAGCAAATAAACAACATTGCTTTGGGTCCTGGGCAAAACCTTCCACTACTGAGGCTGCCTTTGGTTCTGAAGGCCAAACATATGCAAACAAAGTGTTTCACCAGCCTACCTGCTTACCCTACACTATTTTATATTAAGATCAAACTCCCACCTTCCCTTCCAGATTTTTTTCCAGCACTCTTCAGTCTGCCTAGCTTTACATCCAAGGATGGTGACTACTTCCATCTACCCCTTGGAAGCAAAAGATAAAAGTGCAAGTAACCAATTTCCAAGGCTTTGTCCCCACAGATGGACCTATAACAGTCGAATGCTACAACAAGGAGTATAGGGGAAGAATGTTTGCAAGTTTTCAGAAGGTCCTCAACACCAGCTGCTTAACTGGTTGGAGGTGCTAACACAGTGTAATGTCATGAGGCCTCTTGTCCTGCTTCTCACCACATGGATTGGTCATACTTGGTATAGGATGGAATACATCAGATAGATGGAAAACTTTCCTATCACTAGGAAAACACTGTCACATGAAAGGGCTCGTGTTCTGATAAGCTTTGTGATGTGGAAACAGGCTTAGTGTGCTTGAAAACAAGGACCATAAGAGCTATACAATGTGTTGAAACAGAAGAACCAAAATCACAGAGCCCTCTGCAGAGCTCAAGTGTGGTAAGTAAGAATCCAAGTGCAAAGAGCATATTTTTGTTATCTGGTTATTCAGAAGAACCCCTTCTGACATTTTAGGATGAACCAACAAGCACCACAAATTCCCTGTCACTAATCTCATCGCTGGAAATACAATCTGAAATCCAGGGTTTTGTTTCATTTAACAAAACCTAAAAATGCTACGCATAATTCAAAGTGCTAATAGATGAACGTTTGAGCCTTGAAAATCCCCAGCTCACAGACACTCTGCAGGTCAGCAACTCATCTGTCAATGATTTTCAGTAGAAATGCCTCCATGTATTTCATAGACTGCTCAGACTGAAACACAGCTGATGTACCCAGCCCCCAACTTCAGTCTTCCCTTCCTTTTCCTGTTTAAGCAGGACACTGATGTAACAAGCACCGCTGTCTCCAGGCACACTGAGGCCATGTCAAGCCCAAACATGGAAAACTTGTCCCCCCTCTTTCCTCCTTTAGCTTTGCAAACTCTGATAGAGCTAATTTGACTTTTTAACTGGCCTCAAGTGCATAGAGGTGACTCACCTACTCTGAATGGATTTTCCTATTCATGTCATTTAATGCCAGTTAGAGAGAATATTGGCTTTGGGGTGGGATTAATAAAGCTATTCTCGTGCCTCATGAAAACCACTGACACACAAAGAATTTGGCCAGGATGTAGGGGTTAACCCACAGACCTTGTGAAAAATGCTGTAAAATCTTTAAAGAGGTGATGTTTGTTTTACATCTCAGCCAAAAGATGTCGGGCTCTCTGACAGAGCTGTAGACAGATTGTCCAAAAAAAGCCAGCAACTGGGGCACAATAAGCACAGGGACTTAGGTGGACTACAGCCAGCACAAATCTCGGTCAGAGTGTCCCTTGGCACCGTGACAGGAAAGTGCTGTGGCTCAGCATGGAGGGCTGCTGTTAGCTGGACACAGGCACACTTCGTGTGGACTGGCAGGGTCTGCTTTTTCCTTAGGTTGTCTTCCAGGCAAGGGCTCGTGGGCCCCAGCTGCAGTGGGTGAGCCTTAGCGGGGTGCAGGGCCCCGTGGCTGCACAGCCCACGTGTGATGTGCGTGATGGGGATTGGGAAACCATTCCCGTGCAGCACCTTTGTTGTTGCAGGCGATCCATTTCACCTGGGGCGCAAAAGTGACCTCCCTTCCGATGAGGTAAGTGAAAACCCGGACCTGGGAACAGGAACACAAAGACAGAAGATTTAGGCTGCAATGTGCTACCAAATCCAAATGGCTGAGGTTTGGCATCCTGTTGCACGCTGGTGTGAGTGCCTGTCTGTGGTGCAAAGCAATAGCTCTGCTTTCACACAGAGACAGGAGCCTCTTGCACCATTTGTTTTGCATTTTGTGGGCTGGAACTCAATTTCCGATTACAACAAGCCCAGAAAGCCAAGTAGCACCCAGCATCATCTGAATAACAAGGCAGAAGTGCAAATTCTGTTTGATTTTATGATAGCAGCTCTGCCAGGCACTCAGCAACCACATGCAGAGAGGTTTATAGCTCAGAGGAATCCTTTACCCAAGGGAACAGCTGGCTGCATGAATCATTTAGAGAAAGCTTTACCATTTCTCTTATGTTTGACCACCAACAAAAGAGCCAATCCTGAAATAAACTGCTTTAACAGCCCCTTGCTCTGGTCTCTCAGTAGGCTTCTCTCTCCCTTTGTGCACTGCTGCTAGCTGGGATGATGTAAACAAATAAATCAGGAGGGTTTAGGATAAGACATGGTCTATTCCCTTTCACAGTCAGATCTGCTAGTACAAGCCTGTAGTCACAGACCTCAGAGTAAACAGGGCTGGAGGGCACCTGGAGAGCTTTTCTGGGCCATTCCCTGCCCAACATTAGAACTGGTAATAGCCAAACCTTTCCCAAACAGGACCAGTTATAAACAGTCCTACACGGGATTAAAACTATTTTCAAAAAGGTGTTTGGTTTTGGTTGTTTTTTTTTTTTTTTTTTTTTTTAAATTTTGAAGTATTCAGCTCAGTCTTTATAATGTTATCAGGAGAACATTTTAATTGTCCACACCTTTAGAAAATGAAGTGTACGAGAAAAAAACCCTTAACTGACCGACAGACATGCATTTGTAATCCTACCACCTTGAAGATCTCCACCCAGCTGGCTGCTTTGCTTTGTGTTTACAGCCAGGTGCTCACAGGTATACAGCTATTGGAGGATCTGAAAGATCAGCTCTGCCTGATATCCTGGCTCGTGGTCTTCTATTCCCACCATAGCAGGATAGCACCTTTCCTCTCCCTTTGTGCTTATCACTTCCCAGACAAACCTTCCGATCCGGCCAGTTGTATTTTTCGAACACGGATTCGTAATCCTCCACTGCTCCGTCGGTGATCAGCATGATGGCTTGGTTACACAAGCCTCCTTGACCAGCATCTCTGAACTGCAAACAGAGAGGAAGAGCATTAGTTATCTCACCACGGGCTTTGTCTGTGTAATTGCACTCTATTTATTCACGGTGGGCCAGATCCTGACTTTCTCTTGCAAACCTCACACTCAGACACTGCTTAAACGAGGGCTGTGTTGCACGCTGCATGTAATTTTTTGATTTATACAGCCCTGCCTAGCACGTGTAGACATGGGAGGCTTTACAGAAGTAAAATAATGAGGAGAAAATAAGTGTTGTGGAGGAAGGGTGCGATTCCCTGCTGCTTCACATCTTGCAGAGTCACATTCGTTTATGCAAAACAACTATAGATTGACCATAAACACTGCAATTCTGATTTGACAGCAGTAACTGTCACTTTTTACATCAGAAAATGTGAGAGGAGCAGGAAATCAAACTCCTTATTTCAGAGTAAATACATCAATCTGCCAAAGAACAGCAGAGAAAGGCAGGAGCACACGAAAAAAAGGAGGCTACTGCCACCAGAGCTGAGAAAGGTTATGGATGGGCCAGACAGAGAGTCCACACACTGCAGTGACAGATGACCTGTTATCTGTGCATAAGTGATATTTAAGGCAGAGCAGAAGGGGGGACTCTGGTGCAAACGCTGATGTGCTCCCAGGGGCACCTGGAGAGGTGTTGAGCAGATGTGCTCTAGCAGGCAAGCCCTTCCTCCTTTTCAGCCAAGAAAAAGCAGCCATGGATCACTGCTTATCTCCTGCTTCTGCATGCAGAGCCCTTTGCCTCTCATGCCCTCATGTACCCAGCTCTAGAGAGCCCAGTGCCTTATGCAGCACCAACACAGTTATTAACAGCCACCAGTGGAGGTAGTGGAGGGCATCCAAGGTATAAAAGCAAGCAGCCACTTTTCTGAGGCTCCCAGCTCGGTGTCAGTATGTGCTTCTCCTTGTTCTGCATCTCACCACTTCTATGCTCTGAGCAAGGAAGAGTCTAATCAACAGAGGAAGATACAGAAACTGATGCAGAGTAAAAAAAATATGGAAAGAGGGAGAGATGACAACTCTGCACAAGAGATTAATGAGAGGCAATGGCACGAGATGGAGAGTGTACAGGAGACTAACTGAAGGGTGAGTAAGGTTATATCAAGCAGCAGCAATTTGAAATTGGAGAGGATAGTTATATCTTATAAATGAGGAAAAAGGTATCCAAGTGGCAAGATTAATAGCGTAAAATGAAAGCAAGCACTGGATGGGAAAACAAGAACACAGAGTGCACACTGGGACTTCTTAGATGTTCTAGGGTTCAATTCACAACTCTCCTCTGTTTTGGTAATGCTGTGTTATAACAGACGAATGTTTTTATGGACACAAATGGTTCCACTGCAGATCAACATCATGTCCTTCAAGCCAACTCAGAGCTCACGTGCATCCTGCTCAACAGGGAGACTCGGGGCAAGGGCTGAGGGTGGGCAACAGGGACAAGCACAGGATGCTCTGAGGTGAAAACTAAAGGAGAAGAGGAGGTGACAGCTACATGGGATTCTGCTGCAGACCATAAGGTACAAAAAAGACAAAGAGTCTCAAGTGAGCTATTTCTAGGACAGAGATCAACTGCATGCAGATTAGCAGAGAGAACAGACAGTTGTGAGTGTCCACTAGGGAGGCATGGGGCTTCGATGGTGCAGGAGATGGTGCCAGAAGGAGGCTCAGATCACAGATATACAAACCTTATAGTTACAAAAGCAGCTTATTCCAAAATGTTGCAATCTGCAACATGTTTGTTTAGATTATTATTAAATTAACGCTTAATTAAGGTCACCCACCATTTCATCAAACTACTTAAGACATCTCTTCATGAAGCTTACTTCAGATTTCATAATACTGAGATACTGAGAAATTAGATGCTGCATCAGAACCAGCAATCTCCTAATTACAGGAGTAGATGATATTTTCAACAGGGAAAATGAGATCATCAGTGTCATAGAAATAGAGATTAAAAAGACAGATTTAGAAAACAAATGAACAAGGAGGTAATCCTTGGGTTTTATGTCCTTTTGTGACTGGTTGCAGCTGTAGCAAATGATCTGACAGCATTCACATCAAGCTCTCAGCATAATTCCCTGCTCTGACTGAAGTTTCAGGAGCATGAAAGAAGAGGAGATGAGGAATAATATGTCCACAGAATAGATGTCTAAAGAAATGTGGGCTAGAGCTGGGTCAGTGAACAAGGCACAGAGCTACATGTTCTCCTACAGAACTTTGGTCACGTTGCCAGGGCTAACAGGCATGATCTAATTAATTCAGGGTCACAGTCTCTTGTACTCCCTTGTTTGCTCATTGCCATTTACTTTGCAGCAAAAACCTGGCACAGAGTTACTACTGAAGCAATAGAAACCATCACCATTGCTCAGAGATGTGCAGGCACACGTGCTGATTGTGTACACATCTGGCCAGAGGACTGAGCAGCCCCTCCTCATCTCCTCCTGCCCTATTCTTATGCAGGCCTGCCTCCAGAACTACTGAAAATTCAAACGTGGTGGAAAGTGTCTCATGGGTAGAAAAGTAGCAGTAGAGAAGGAAGCAGCCAGTGCAGAAGAAATAAGAAATGATAAGAACTGGTAAATAGGAAATCCTGAGCTTTGCTTGTCTTGAAAAATGCGCTGTAAAATCCAGGCCCAAAAATGCGACTGGAATCAAGAAAAGATTTATAAATGCTCAGAGAAGAAGCAAAAGAGGGAGCAGAAAGAATATGTTGCCAGCTGTTAAAAAACAGAGGGAAATGGTTGGACAGAGATGCTTTATAGCCTCCATACTTGATCATCAAAAGGACAATATTGTAATGGCTGGGCACCCACTGAAGTGATAAGAAACAAGGGAAAGAATGAAAGAATTACAGGCAAGGTCACAAAGTGGTAGAGTTAGAGAGAAGGCTAATTGAAAGCATTTGAATAATCTGTGCTTAGCATGAAGGGAAGGAATTTCAGAGGGTGTAGCTGAACTACTTGCCTCATGAGCTGAGACCTGACTGGGACTGTATGAGATCCCAAAGGACTAAGAGAGAATCAACAGAAAATGTATTGCAAGAAGGGAGGAAACTAGGTGGGTAAGTTGTCCTTAAGCATTTAGCACATTGCTAAAAAAGTTAACGACACAGTTGTGAGTGCACAAATGAGATGCTTCCTCACACAAGTGGAGCATAAGAGGCCACAAACCTTTGATAGCTCACATCAGCAGATAGGCTCGTTCTTTTTATAGGACCAGTTTACTCAAGTTACTCAGAATTTTATGCCTCACTGAAATCCAGTTTGTTACCAGTTTCATAGTGTTTTTTCACCTATAGCCATTCTGGAAGACCTACTCAGTTAACTTCAATATTTATGTGATTTCTGTGGTCGACAGTGAGTAAAGGCATGATTGAAACAGCTTGGTGTAAAGAGAAGACAACATTCTAAGGTGACCTTGGAAAGCTGAACTTGGCATTTCTTGTCCTCCATAGAATGGGTAAAGCGTTAGCTTTCAAAATACTTACTTATTCTGAGTGGATTCTGAGAAAGGAGGACACATAAATGTCACAGATTTTCATAGAATCATTAGAATACCAGGGTTGGAAGGGGTCCCTCAAGGGTCATCTGGCCTATCTAATCTTACAAGATTAATCATATAACAAATATATGAATATATTGATATGTCTCTCTTAGGATTGGAGGGGGGGTGTTTGCATATGTGTATGTGTACACACATATGTACCTTGGAAAGGGCAGTCAGGGGCTCAAATACCAAACAAGAGGGTGGATACTGCCTGGAGAGGGATAATGCAGAGACAGATCAGCTGGATGGGAGTTAACAATGTGACAGCGTCTGAAAAAAAACGTAGCTGTTGCCTTACGTTGTGTTAAGAGGACTACGGTGTGTAAAACAGGGAAGGCAATTATTCTGCTCTGCTTAGCACTTGATAGCTCTCAGCTGCAGCACTCACACATTGTTGGGAGCGTGGCGTTTCAGGGAAGACAGCCTGGAAGCAGCCACGAGCAGAGCAGCAGCCAGAACAAAGGGGTACAGATCCTGCAGGAAAAGGGTGAGAGAACAAGACGTGCCAAGCTTGTTGAAGCAGAGGAGAAGATAACAGGGAGATAGATTATTGATAAATAAGAAAAGAGCTCAAAAGATAGCACTTGACTCCTGAGAATTTCTGAAGCACTTCATAAACGTGTGCTTAAGACCATCATTTCCCTGGGATGCATATTTTGTTGAAACCACTTGGCGTGTGGCTAAATTGAAATAGAAAGTATAAGTGGTTTATTGAGCGTGGCAGAGAGGGGCAGGGGAGGCTCTGGATAACTGTTCTCCTGAAACCATTCTGCAAATTGCGTCATGGATTAAAATATGCCCTGTCTACCCCAGAACATAATGGAAGAAAACAAAGATGTGAGAGACTCGTGCTCTTCTTCAACCCCTCTCTGCTACTCATACCTCATCGAGTAGGTCTCTGCTGGGCTATTAATTCTATGAGCAATTGGGCTGAGGAAAATTACCAGGGAAATTTTGCAGTCACTTTCATTACAGATATTATTACTGGTTGTCTATTGTAATCAGCAAAGCCTGTTTCATCAGTGTGATGTAGCAATTTTCATTTTCATTCTCTTGCGTATGCTCCTGTGAACAATAACAGGACAGTCTGTGAGGAACAGCTACAATTACAAGCTGAGAATGTCAATTTTGCCTGATGAGGAGGGGGTGGTCAATTCCACCAAAGTTCCCTTTTCTCCTGCCTGCATGACCGCAGCACCACAGACTTCTTTCAAGACACACTGATGAGAAACCTTTCCCTCTGCTATTACCGATACGGATTTAAGAACCTCTAAGAGAAGATTTCAGAGAGCCCTTAAGCCACATGAGCACTTGGCAGGTGGGACCCTTTTGCCTTAAGCTGTGGTACTTGCAGACCCTGGGGTCCTCCAGCTGGTGATATCAAGGCACTCTCTAGATGAGCCCTCACCAGGGAAGCTGCAGTGAGGGGAAGGCTGCGGCAGGACCACGGGCAGGTTTCTATGCTTGCATGCCTGTGACATGCAGCCTCTGGTGCTGCTGTGTGTGCAGAGACACCATGTCTGCCTCTTCTGAAGAAGAGCAGGCAGAAATCCTGGGCTGAAGATACAGGAGGTCCTGCAGGACTCCTGCTGCACGTCCAGCTGCCCCACAGCTGGCTGGGAACAAGGCTGATGGCTTCACTGACCGTGGGCTGAGGTCCCATTGCACCGAGGAGCACAGTCATGGTCCATGCTACAGTGAAAGACACACCGCAAGAAAAAGCTGCACTCAGTGTTACTGAGGAAGGAGAGATGGGTGGAAGAGAGGTTTAGCCCTGTTTCACACCTTCCTTTGGCAGCAAAGATACTGTTTCTGAACTACTGTTTTATGGACCACTGGGTGCTGCACTGTCCAAGAGCCACCTCAGAGCTGTTTTAAGTTCATTAGACAAGGGAGAATCAACAAGGATCAAGATGCGTGATGCCTGCTTAAACTGTTGACTGCATTTTTAATGCTAAATAGAAACAAAATAGTTTCTTATCTATTACTGCAGTGAAGTCACGTTAGTCCCCTGGGCTGCATGGACATCACTCTGGAGGTAGTTTTGGTCCAGCTATGTCAGCAGAGGGCATTTTTTTCTCTCTCAGCTGTTTCACCACATACCTTCCATTTCCCATGGGCATGCCTGTCTTAAACTATGCAGTGCTTTATAAAGGTTCTGCCTCCTGTAGGCTTGAGGATTGCCTAGTCCAGTGGATGAGCCATGCCTGCCAGAAAGGAGGTGTGAGCTCTCCTCGTTAGTTATTAGTGAACCAGAACAGTTTTGGTGTCTGTGCCTGGAATGACCTGCTGCTGCCTCATCTGGGGCAAGCAGGCTTTCTTTAGCACTGTGCTTTGTGATTCTCCACTGAGACCTTCGTAGCTGTGCTGCTTGAGAATGCCTGCAATTGTACTGCACTGGGCGTCTTTAACCTGTTGTCACTGTACGTACCAGTGCTACGTTAGACTTAAGAAAATCATTTTTCCTCTGGTACAGAAATTGTGTAAGGATTCTGATTTACACAGTGCAGCCCAGTATAGGCTCTGGATCTTTGGTTTTAAATATTAATTTTAAAATAATTTTAAAAGTCTGTGGGGTTTTGTTTGTAACTTGCAAGAATACACGTAGGCAATCTAGCAGGCATCTGGACCACGTAATTGTTCTAGTTTCACATCATTACTGCTTCCCTGGTCATCTCAGTAATTATCTTGCTCCAAAGATGTTGAACTCCTCAAAGTGCTGCCAGTCTATTACTGCCATGCCAAGTCTACATCACGCTCTTCTCAGGCTGTCATTAAAACCACTGTGCTTCTAATACCAGTGACAAGTCAGGTCAGCTCCCACCCTCCCTGGATTCAATTCTGATCATGCTGGCACTGGCATAAATTAGGAATAGCATTACCATGGCCAAACAAACCTACACTTTCAGCTTTTAAAATAAGTGAGAGTGGAGAATCTTTCCCAGGGTGTCAGTACCTCTGGCCCACCTTTAACACATACATCATCATTATGGCCACTAACATTGTATGTATATGTATTTTTGTCAGCACCAAAGGCATTGGTTTCTTTAGGCCAACCCCACTATAGACAGTGCCATGAGGAGAGGGGGGGATTCAGCTGGTTCTTGGTCCCTTTTTTTTGTAACCATTCCTTAAGATACAGAGTTAAGTTGCGTGTTTATCTCTAGGCTACTGAAGTCCCTATTGTTCACATAAGGCAATGAATCATTTATGATCCTTATCACAGGGTATAATCAGAGTGATTAATTCTCCTGGACCTGTGGTTTCTTCCCCAAGCACTGATACTCAGCAAAGTGACATTGAAATAAATCTGAAGCCTGAGAATAGTCTTTCATGTCTTCACCATCATCTACTTCTCACTAATAACCTTACTTACAACCAGAATTGTTGCCCTCAGTCGATCAGTTATATTTTACTGCCACCATCTGTAAAGGTTCTTGGTCAAAGCACAGTTGTGGAGCTCATTAAGAAAAGACTCACAGAGCCACGGCCTGGCTGGCTCCTCATCCCTCCTGGGCAGGGACTGGTGGCCACAGACATCACGAACAAACCAATCCCCCACCAGAGCTGGGTCACCCCCCACACTGCTTGTCACAAATTTGGGGTCCATGAGATCAGCTCACACCACATCCCCCTGCAGCACAGTGCAGTGAGGGACGTGCTGAGTCACCAGTTGTAGAGGGGAACGTGGCAATGGGCAGGGACTCTTGTGCCCAACACAAGCATTAACAGTGACTCTTACCTCCCTCAGAATTTTGAAGGACTCTGTCAAAGCCTTGCTCACAGTCCCCACTCCTTTTGCCTGCAGTTCTTCCACCAGTTGCTTGAAATGCTGGCAAGAAGAGAGTAAAAAAGCCAGGAATGAGTTGTAGACAGGGTGTGCCCTTTGACCAGGGGAGGAAAAGGGTAACCTAGACAAGTCTGTGCCATTGGGCTCCTGCTCCTTCACTACTGCTGGCAGGGCAGGGCAGGGCAGGGCAGGGCAGCACTGGGACTGAGGGAGGTGGGAAAGCCAAATGGCCACCCCATTGGTGGCACAATCAGGTTGCACCTCTGCCCATGCAGCTACAGCAGGACTGCATTTCTCAGTCCCTGCGCTGTGAACCACTGACAGCCCATGATGGATCATGCCAGGGACAAACCCACTGGAAATCTGACTTTCTCTTGTCCATTCCTTCAGGTAAAGAACATCCTGTGCATGCAAAACAACGTGATGGGGGAGGGGGGGAGAAAGAAACCATTTGAATGCTTGTCTACTACTTAAGAGGCATTGTTGTAAATTAAAACTGCAGAGTGCTCTCTGCAGGATAGTGTTTGTTCAAAAAGCTTGGGGATCCTTTAGGAAACACTGTAGGAGACATCACCCTCTATAGTCATGTTCTGTGACCCAGGACTATGCCAGGAAAGAAATCTGGAGAGAAATCTAGTGGCTGAAAACATGGAGGGATGTGCTACTTCTCTGGTATTAATACAGAGAGAAAAAAAAAATTAAAAAAGCCAGTATGAAGAGATGAAGAGCTAAAAGTACCAGTCAGCCTAGAGGGTGGTGGAGCAGCTGGATGCAGGCTGATCACCTTAGGGGTGCAGAGGCTTCCTGGATCAGAGCAGCAAAATCCCTCACCAGGGAAAGCTTGCTGGCAAGCATCCATCCTGATGAAGGATCAGACCAGGCTGAGAACACATTCACCAGGAAAGGGCTGGTTGTTCTCCCTTCTGGAGGCTGAAGATGTGGGGTTTCAAAGTTGGTTTGCCCTCTGCACACTGTTTTTCCATGGCATCCTGGACCAGGTCTGCTTGTGGTCTGACAGTGGTGACCCAGGAAAGCTGGTTACTGCTCTTTAGTTATCCAGCTGACCCTGTGTTAGTTACTTCATGTAAGCAAAGATGAACCACAGAGCCAGCACACACCACTGCTTGTTCTGAAATGCAACCCACATGCTGCTGTGAGATGCAGGTTGTTCCCTGTCCCTGGAGTTTCATATCTCAGCATCTTGACCCCATGTAATTCTTACATTAAGAGAGCTGCCTGAATTACACTGATGGGAGCCTGGTACTCACCTCTCTGTTATCTCTGTCTGCTTGGACCAGGATACCCTTAAAACAGGGTTCAATAAAATGAACGTAATCGTTGTACTGCAAAGAGAAAATGGAAAGAAAGGGATTGTAATGGGAGAAAATTCACAGAATGGGTTCATGTCCTCAGTGGATGTTCAGAGAGCAGTATGGAACGTTATGCTATTTTATACCTATTTCCCTTAAAATTTGTTTCCAGTGATAATGACAGATTATAATTTTGATAAATCTTCTATTTGTTTAAATAATGCATTAATTATGGTGTTTTGCTGAGTTCTATCTGAGCATATCTACATAGCTTTTTCCCCGCTCACACTGTAGAGTTTTTATCCACACTCTGTTAGCTCGTGCCCCTGGCCTTGCTTCTAGCACTGTCTGCACATAGTTCTGACTTCTGCAGGCTTTGTGAGTCCCCAGTCGCCAGCTGAACTTTGCGAGTGGTTTCGTAACCTGAAGTTTGATGCCTCTGGGTACACAGCTGAGCAATAACATACCCAGTAACCACACCTCCACAAAACTGGGATAATTAGTGGGGTGTATGCTTCGAGCCTGGCATGCTTTACCTCAGATGTGTCAACCTTTTCCTACAAGGTTCAGAAGAGCATAATTCATGAGAGGCTCAGCTGATCAGCAGGAGCTCAGGTCAGGCTATAATGTGTCTGAGCCAGTAGGTTCTTGGTGTGAGTGCAGTAAAGGAATACATATATATATATTACATGGTCTTTCTGGGATTGTTTTTAAAGAACAGATGATATTTCAAACTCCTTAATGATTCCCCTCCACTTTTCTGCCAACACTGTTCACTCTTCCATCTGTCCAGCCATATAAAGACAGAGCTGTTGCCATTGGAGTTTCTAATTATCTAACATAAGAAGCTATCAACAAAAAGTAGACTTTATATCTCAGTTTCTGTGCCCTGGCAAGCTTTCATAGAAAGGAGCCTGGGGAAGGAGATGATGCTTGAATTAGCTTGAAAAATTGGAAGGTGAGCAGCCTTTAACCTGGCACCAGTCTTGGCACATGTCATGGAAAAGTTTTGCTCTGTGGTCAGTGGTGCCGGTTCTCTGTGGGTAACCAGCCCATCCTTATCCTGGTCAGGCCTTAAAAAGGAAGAAAATAACATTGAGGCAACCTGACCAAACTCCATGCAGGCCCGTGCAGATTGACTCTGATGAATTGTACTGGCAGCCTCGCAGGGTGCTGGTGCACAAAAAGGCATATGGTGGTAATTTTCTATCCCAGAAACATTATCCTGAGGATTATACTGCTACTGGACCCAAACACAGCATTATGCTAAACTAGGTGAATGTATTAGCTCGGGTTCCTGCTAGCTTAGGTTTCTCTCCACAGCCCCTTGTTATCTGTTACAGTCACACCCTCAAATAAGCAAAAAGATGCAGCTGACATCCTCTGCAGAGGAGAGGTGAAACGACTTGGCAGCCACCCTGCTGACCACACAAAGCTGACTCCCCAAGGGTAATTTGTGTTAATCTCCCATCCAGCATATCTCCTGTAGCTACATCACCGGAATGCCTGCAGTTTGCTAAGGGGAAGGAGGAGTTGGCACGAGGCACAAGGAAGGCAGCTCGGTACTGGGATTGAGACAGACATACTGCGATGATGTTGACAAAGTCATTTTCTCCCAGAGTATCTAAAATGGTGACGATGGCGTGTTTGGCAATGGTCAGCTTCAGGCCCTTCATGCTCCCACTGACGTCCACAATGATGACAATGTCCTTGGGAGAGGTGGCCGCTTGGATGTACCTGTATAAAACGAAGAATACAAGGAAGCAGGGTGAGCACCCAGGAAGGAGGAATGCTGGACACAGTGCTGTCACACAGTGCTACCCACAGCATAACATGCACCACGAGCACAGATATCCAGCAGGATCAGGCTGATCAGAACAGAGCTCCCTTCCTCTTCCGCTGGCCCCAGCGCCTCACTTCCTGCATTGGGAAGTGCTGGGCCTGCTCCAGACACATGTCCAAGAGTGACAATTGCTAAAGCCTTCTTTACCCACGCTGAGTAGACCAGAGTTAATATGCCACATTTCCGGAGTCTAAGTGTCCCTGCCTCCAAGTTGCAAAATTATAAGGAGAATGGGACAGAGGAAGGATACCCCGGTGATTTCCTTGTAGATGCCATATGGAAAGCTGTTGCTGGCAGGTGGTAGGGCTTCCCAACCTTTATGTACCCCTATCTCTCACAAAAGCAGGACAGGACAGTAACTGTTTCTCAGCAGCTCACCAAGGTGTCACCTTGGAAAAGAGAGAGAAAGGGAGGCTGAAAGGTGCTTCGGCCAAGTCTCTCCAAAACTTACCAGCCACGGTTTCTGCAGTCAAAGGAGATGACTCCATTCTCGTCTGGTAACCACTTTATCCCTGAAGAGAGCAGCAAAAGGGGCAATCAACACACACAGACAGGCATCTGCTCCCTGCTCCCCAGGCACCCACACTGCTGCTCTTCACTGCCGAGACCCGGCAGCCCCATGGGGGCACACAAGCCTGGCCAGCAACAGCAGCACCCGTTCTGCAGAAATCCAAGCAGAGCTGCATGGTCTTTGGCAGTTCTCAGCATACTGTTTATTAAGTTTCTGTTAAAAAATGTACCTAGGCTCAGTCTGTTCAAATTTGGGGAGCAATTGAACTTTTTGCCAATTTGATGTAGTTCTCAACAACATATTTTTCTTCCCATGGGGGGTTGAGAGCATAAAAAGGCAGCAGCGGTGACAAGGACGTGTCCCAGATTCCCCGCTGAAGGCTCTGTTCCCAGTCATCCCTGCTTTCCCCTTCCCCAGCACGTGACAGGTCACAGAACAAGGGCACGCAGCCATCTGATGAAGCAGCCACCAGGCCAAGCTACAGCTGCAGAGTTATCTCATGGGTTCCTCTGAGCATGGGACCTCCCTCTCGTGCCATGACCTTATGTGCCACTCACAGCTGGTGAGTGGATAACAAGTCAGGCTGGCCAGCTGCATCTGCCACGTGTGTCCTCAGAGGCAGAGAGAGGCTCTGGACACCACTAAAAACCACAGAGGGCATGAAGCAGGGAGCCCTGCCATGGTGGCAGGGGGGAGGGGGAGAGGGTGTCTGCCATGGTGTTTTGGGAGTTTTTTGGAGGACAGCCTGCCCGAGGCACACCCCTGCCATCAGACTCCTCTGGGGTTGCAAGGGCAACATCCCTGAGGGGCTGGTTCACATGGGAAAAAGGGGTTTATGCCTGCTGGACACTGTTCCTTCGGCCTGAGCAGCCCGTGCCCGTTGCTCACTGCACCCTGCCCTTGGTGAACCTGTGATGCTCCCAGCCTTGCCAGGTTGGACTCTTCCATAGCACGGACCCCTCCTGCAAAACTGTTGTGTTGCACTGAAAGACAAAAGCCAGTCTGCTCTTTTACCTGGGTAGAGCCTGAAGAACCCAGTGGAGCTGCCGAAGTACTGCCAGGTCAGCGTGGGATCCCTTTCAAAGTTGTCCACAAAAATAGGATTCAGGGCTTCTGACATGTAAACTCCATTAAGGATGGCAGGGTCTGTGGGGAGGGAAGAATAAAAATGGGGAAAAAAAGCATGTAAAAGAAGGGAGGACACGGACCACCCCGATGGAGGAGAAGGATGGGAACAGAGGCAGCTCCAGGAGGAATGCAGCCTTATCCAAAGCTTTCACATTGGGCAGGGCATTGGATCCATCATTCAAAATAAATCCTGGAGGTCAGGTCACCACTGGCCCCTGCAGGTGATCTCAGCATGGTCGTACTCTGTTGATCCCATTTCTCTTTCCAGCCTTGTCTGCCCTCAAGCACTACATCTGGTTGGAAGAGAGCTCTGAGAGACCCAGGAAAACCATCACTGTGCCAAGCACAGCTGGCACACCATGCAGCTGATACCTGAGAGGGGATCTGTGGCTGTTGAAAAGCAACTGCCTGATGCACCACTAACAGCCCTTCTGCAAGCTGTGTTGAAATTTATGCTAGGTGTAACTGCCTTAGACAGAGGAGTCCTAGGATTTACCCAGTTTGTCTCTTTTGTCTTTTCTTCTTTGCCTGCCCTTTCTCTCACAAAGCCTGGGCTGTCCTACCTCACCCCCCATTTCATCAGAATCGATAGGATGTTGCAGATTCCAAGAACTCCTAAGAGGCCATGTATATTTGGTGTTTGTGCTGACTCATTGTCTGGGGAGAACAAAGAGCAGCAGCAGCAGAAACAGGGAATCCTGAGAAACTGCTCACTCTATTAATGTTGAAAGGGGTGGGGATTTGACTTGACTTTACTGATCACTTTACTGAAGGCAGTTTGGGTCAAAATAAGGGAAAAAATGAACTGTGACTCCCCAGTGATGAGGTCAAAGTAAGTCCCACAGGACTGGAGAGCCAGAAGAGCTGTGGAGAGCCAGCCTTGCTGCTGTTTGCAAAAGAGGGAGTGAGTACTTCTGGACACTGCTCCTTGGAGGATTCCCAGACATGGAAGCAGCCCTCCACCTCCTGCTCATCCCCCAGCCATAGCCAGAGGAGCTGGTCAAGCTGTGCAGGCAGGAAATCAGCCAGCTGGGCAATGCCTCTCTGCTGTCTCTGCCAGTGGCCATTTGACCACCTCTCTCTGTCCTCTGCTGTGGACAGCAGCCTACACGGAGCAGCTCTGCTGCATCTACCCACAGCCAGCTCCCCTGGTGGCTCTATTGTGAGCAAGATTTTAGTGTCTGGGGCTGTTGGACCAGATGGAACTAATTTAACATCCTGGGAAAAATAGAACTCCCTCTATTGTCTCTCTAAATAACACAGCAGTTGTGAGCAGTCACCAGCGCCTGCCCCGTCTGGCCCTGAAGACTTTAAATGAGCTCCATCAGTGAGAGAAGCAATGGCGCCTTTTTTTTTTTTTTCCTGTCAAAAACATACACAAGGGGAAGAGCTGACAGGGAGGCAAGGAAGGAGCCAGTAGAGGCAGCTTTGAATGTTGGCCAAAATGAGCAGTAAACTTAAGGCAGTTGCAAGTGGTATCTCAGCCTGCAGCCGTGGCTGCGTGCTGACCAGCCTGGAGGTGAACTTGTTTCTGGGGTGCAGCTGGAGTGGTGCCTCCCTGGGCTCCTGCAGCTGCCAAGGTGCCAAAGGATTGCTGAGAACACAAAATAGCCCAGAAGAGTCATGTAAGGGTAGCAGTTGTGAATTACCCCCATGGATATGCTCACTGAGAATTAAGAGTGTCCTTGTCAAGTGTTAATGCCTCCTGATGCAAAGGTACTTGGAGTCTCAGTTCTCAGCTGAAATCAATGAGATCCTTGATGTCTAAAAGACCTTGATAGATCCAACCCTTCCTACAGAGCACCAACTGCCAATGAAGTCACATCACAGCATCTTTTTTTGAGTAGATGAACTGTAGGAGAATATACTGCCTGCCTAAGATGGAGGACTGTCCATCATAAGAGGTCTTCCAAGAGCAGATTATACCTGTCACAGTGACAGAGTACAGCACAGACATGACTGTGCCTTGGGACAGTACTTTTCCAGCCCTGGTTTCTTTTCTGTAGTTGTTTTTTTTCTATTCCCATCCTTGTTTCCAGTATTATTACTGACAATTTCCACAGCAACCTACTATAGTGGTGAGGAAGTAGAGGCCATTACCTTTGTTGTAGACATTGGTGGGGAGCTGGATATCACTGTATGTTGTGTTCACCAGCAGGTTATTGAAATGCTCATTTGGCTCCAAAATGAATTCATCTCCAAGCTCCACGTAATTGTCATTTTCATCCTTCTCATTAATCAGGAGAGAGTTGTAGTAATCAAACTGTTGATGAAGACAGTGGAAAAGAGAAAGGTGAAGAGAGAATAAGACAGGCTATTCCCAGTATGGCTGAAGAAAAAACACTCTTTAAAACATAAAGAAGGGACATATGGGGAACTGGGGCTTCAAACAGGATCAAGATGAGCAACAAACAAGCTACTACCAAGTGAAAATTGCACAGCTGCCAAATCGATGACTGCTGGCCAATTTCTTATTGTCAATAAGAAATGACTGAAAGCACGGCCATAGCCCAGAGCAGAAGGGCTACTGAAGAGCAGAGGGACACAGTGGCAGACTCTTGTGGTCCCTCAGAGGTGATTTAAGTGATTAGCTGGAGAGGTGGAGTGTCTCACTGGGCCTGGCCCCCAGGTTTAATACAAGGCATGTCAGTGCCGACCTTACTTGCCCTGTCCCTACAGCTGTCATTTACTAGCGTTAACTCCTGGTGTACATCCAGCCAGGATTATCCCCTCGTTCTGTCACTCCAAGTGGCAGGAACTCATCAAGAGCAAAGGATCAAGCAGAAGGTGCTCAAAGACAACGCAGTTTCCCCCCTGTGAAGGTCACTGGGGATTTATTACCTACAGTCACTTCAGTATATTTAGGACATTCTTCGTCCTTGGATAACCTGTTCTTAAGATGTTTTTGGTGATTTTATCTGAGCCAGAGGTTATTTAAGGATTTATGTTCAAGTGCTATCAGTATTCAGAGGGTGCAAATACCAAATCCTATACCTCAACTCACCCGTGACCCTTACTGGGAATGCAGGTGACCCAACTACCATTACTAGTGTGATTCTTAAAAAAAAAAAAAAGGTAAGAGAGATAAAATTAGTACCTAGCTTGATCCTAGCTTGATTTCAACAAGTGTTTTCATTCTCAGCTTTTCCCAGCACTGAGATATCTGCTTGCAGGGGTAGCCTGCACTTCTGCTAGTATGTCCGTGCTTATGCTATGGACAGAGGACTTCCTTGAACAGAATTTTCACTCCAGTTCCCCTCACCAGCAGTAATCCCATAGCTTGGCCACAACTAACAGTTATTAACAGAAAGCCAATTATCCAAATTGCTTGGACAGCACCAAACTTTCACCCAACGGAAGTCCTGACAAGTGGGTGTCTGTCTGGTGGAGAAAAGGTGGTGGGAGCTGTTGAGAAAGATGGTGAGAAGCTCAGTTCATTTGGATTAACAGTTTGCTGTGGGTATTTGTAACAGCATCCTCCTCATTGCTCATTCACACTCAATTTTTAGCTCATTTTCCAGTCAAGTAACCCCCCAAGTGCCAGCTAATCTGCACTAGCACACCACATAACGACAGTGTTGGTCTGCAGTAGAAGTTATGCCAATAATATCACACAACCTAGAGTCTTCCCAAATCCTTCCCCTCCCAAAGTCAAAGGACCAACCTGCTTGGTGTTACTGGATTTGGGATATGCCAGGGGAGTCTCTTACAGTAGTCTCTACACAAGCTGAGTGTCCTGAAGTCAAGGAGATTCCCAACCTGTCCAGGAACCTGAGGTGGCTGGGTTCCTGGCTAGGCCTGTCTTTTGGCTGGTCTCTCTGAGGGTGTGTGTCACTTTTTGTCACTGACCGGGATGAACTTACCTCCAGGGAGGAGTTGTACTCATGGTTCAGATCTGCATCTTCTGCTGCTTCCACCAACCTCTAAAGCAAGCACACAGAAAGAAAGATGAGTGGGTGCTCTGGCAAGCCCCCCAGAAGCTCTTCCAGCTGTATCAGCCATTCACACAGTTAATGAAAAGACATGACTGCCTCCTTCACCACACAGGATCACGGAGCTATAAACTTCCCTCTTTCCCTCCTTTTCTGCTGACCTATCGTTCTGTGGTGCAACTTTACAGCTTGGAAAGTATATTTGCAGCTATTTATTGCCAGGTATATTGACACCTATTTACTGCAGAGTCCCTGCTAAGCAATTTTAGATATCACAGGACATATACAAACAGAAACAGGTCAATTTGGAGAAACAATAGACAGAAATTTCATTCCATTTTCCGTGAGCCCTTCCAAAAAGCCATGGGAAAGGCTTTTCGGGCCCAGCTTGATGTCAGTATCTCATCAAAGGAAAAGGCCTTGTGGGAGTCTCAGTCTGGTATTGTTACTGAGACAAAGACCACGACTTGATTTCATAAAGGGCTCAGTGATGCTGTGGCCATTTATAAGCTCTTACCATTTATGGAAGGCAGTAAAATCAGCCAGTGTTCTCCAGTATGATGCTTCAGGGCACTAATTCTCAATTGGTACAGACTGGGAAGGAATCCAACTAAACATGTACATGTTTTCAGGGTTGCACAATCAGCAACAGTCTCAGCGAAACTACGTTTTGCTCCTTCACAAAGGATAAGGCAATCCAAACGCTGGAAAAGTCTGGCTAAGAATTTCACATTATGGGCCAAAGCTCTGGGTTTAAATATGCCCACATTTCACTTTGAGACTCAAATGATGTGTTTCTGGATGACTTTTCCACATTAGACGCCTTTAACAGTCAAGGCTCTGTGACTCCAGAAATATGCTTTTCATAGAAGGTAAATACACAGGAATATGATAAATCCTTAGATGCAGGAAGTAAGAGGGGCCATAACGATTACCTGCTCTGATCTCCCACACAGCAACAGCTCAAGACCTCTTGCCACCTCCTCCACACTTCCCCATGTACACAGCTAGAAATCCAAGCACCTTCCTTGCAGCTCATGTTCAGGGGGTGAAGAAATTTCCCTTGAGCCACACGCACAGCTGAAACAAGCTACCAGTCTTCAGTGGCCAGAATGCATTATGCAAGGATGAACTTTATTTTCACTTGTGAGAGGATTTTTTTCCCCCCCTCTTGTCTCCTTAAAGGGTGTTCATTCCCTCATATTTATTCTTAGACTTTTTTTAATCTTATTTCCTACTTTGGGCTGAGGGAGAAGCCAGCATTCCCTTGTCTGAACGCCCACATCCTCCCACCAGTGTCTGCTTAAAGCTCAGAGTGAGCAGCCAGCCGCACCAGCAGGAATTTGGTTGGGCAAAGTCCTCACACAACCTCTGCGCCCACACACTCCTGGGACAGGCAGGAGAGCTGTGCCTGCTGCTCTGGGGCTGACAGGAGAGGACTCCCTTCCTGGAGCCCCAGAGGTCCTACCTCGACAGCTTCGACCTTCCTGCGGAGCATGCTTTCCATCTGCTCCGAGAACTTCTTCACCAGCTCCAAGCCATCCACCTCCTTGATCTTCAGAGTTGGCTCCACATCTTTGTACTTCTACCCAAGGGAAAAAAGGAAATCCTGTTGAGTAGGAGGCTCGTAAGGAGCGAGGTGAATCTTTTATTGCTGGCTGGGTATTGTCTCTGATGAAGAAAGAGGTATTGAAGGAACCGCTCTGATTTATCGCCTTCTCCCGTCTTTGCCTTTCCTCCTTTTTCACCCCATAATTTGGGTGTGAAGCATTTTGACGAAGTAAAAGCAACTGAACCAATTGTGAGCTTGTGGCTGTTGAAAACAGCAGTGTACCCGAAGTTACTCGTGCCTACAAACTGGAGAGAGAGAAGCAGAAGGACAACTTTTTAAAAAAACCTAAACCACTCATTGTGATTACACCCGTAACAGCATTAGACAAGTCACATGCCTGAAGTTTACTTAAGACAGAGGGAAGGGCAAGGGAATAGAGCTATAAACTGTCATTAGCATCTCCTCCTATGGCACATGTGCTCTGGGACAGTAGTGGGAGGGATGTCATGCTAGTAGTTCATGTGCTGTCCTCCCACAGTGTCATCATATCTGTAAGGTAACTTGCCAGGTCTCCAACAAGAAGGGCCTGCTCAGTGCTTAGGTGGGAGACTGCCAAGGAGAGCTAATATAGACAGTTATGATGCTAATTATCAGGCACCCAGGAGCATGCTTTAGGCCAAGAGCACCACAGAGGCATTTCTCAGAAACTAGGAATTAGAAGCATGGCTACTTAGTGCTGTCTCCACTGGGAGAGATGCTGTAATGAAGAGGATCTGGATCTGACAGCTTTAGAGATAACTAATTTCTTCTGACCAGGTTTCATATAATCTAGGCATTAAGAAACCCGAGAGCACTCCCAAATTGTGTAACTAATCTGCCTCCTTAAATCTGCCCTTTCAGCACTGGATACAATGGCCTTTATTTCTGCGTTTCAAAAAATCCCACTGCTAACAGAGATAGCCAGAGAGAAAGAGTAAAAAACACCTGCCAAAGGACACGGTATGATTAACCTATTCAGAAGAGACAGAGCCTTATCTCCTCAGCAATATGGAAACACGAAGGCAATCCCCTGGTCTCTCATCATCATTTTTTTCTGCACTGTACTCAAAGCCCCTTCGTGTTGTGCTAGCACCATAGCAGCAACCTCAGCCAGGGCTGGACTTCTCCTGCTGGGGAAAAAAAAACCAAAAAGAGGTGGTGAAAAGAGTAAGGAGATGGCAGGGGCTTTGGTAACACTTCTGAATTAGAAGAAAGTGGCAGAGAAAGGACTTTGCATGTCTTTAGGGCGAGCGAACCTTTTGTTCAAGCAGCTCCTTGAGGGTCCTGTCCGGGAGGGCAGCTGAGCACAGGCAGAGTAAGGAACGCCCCGAGGATGGGGCAGGCTGAGGAGGTCAGACAGAAATAGCAGCAGCATCCAGCCCGCAGCAGGCATGGCAGGGAGGCAGCTCGCTCTGCCTGGCGTGATTAACGGCAAGGGTTTTACTGGATTAAAAACGCCAGGCCTCGCATCCCCTCCGCTACGGCTGCGTAGCTGGGACAGGCAGGCAGGCAATGGGGGGGAGGAGGAGGTGGGGTTGAGCAGCAAGGTTAGTGTAACCGTGCTGCAGCAAGAGGGATGTGCAGCGACAACCCCCCGGCTGAGGTCCCTGGCTGCTGAGGAGACCCGAGCACAGCCCAGCTGGTGTCTGTCCCATTTAGCTCCATGTCATGGTTTCGTCGGGAGAGAAGTGATCTCTGCCAGGCCAGGCTTTAATCAGGCCCTCCTCGGGGGGAGGAGGGTAATCTCTCCTGGGAAAGCTAACAAAGAGGGGGAGGGAAACAACATCAGCACGGGCAGGCACGCGCTTCACAAAGTGACCCGCCACCGGTTGCCTCGGGTCACATCTTCACTTAAAAACCAGGTCTTTTCACCTCTCAATTATTTTTTGATGTGCTTTTCACACATTGACAAGCAGATGTTCATAGGGTAAAAGTAATAACGGGAATCACGAGCAGCCTGCTAACGCCGTACATGCCTCAGGCCCAAGATCTAGCCAAAGCTGGGAAAAAAAAAAAACAACAAAAAAAACACAAAAAAAACCAACCAACCAAACAAACAAAAAAAAAACCCAACCAAAAACTAAACCAAACTGCCCAAAAAAACTTTCTTCAAGTTTTAGTTCACTGAAAGAATACATAAGGTTTGAGCTCAGATCCTCTTTGAGCTTTTTTCCTACAAACGAACCAGCAAACCACTTTGTGCCTGTATTTCTGCCACTGAAATCTCCTGCTGTTAATGGCTATCGACTCCAAGAGTTTCTAATGGTGGGCAACGGAGTAGTACTTGTGATTTCAATACTGTTACCAGACACCATGGTTGAAAGAGTCAAAGCAGGTGCTTGTAGCTGGCCAAGATGTTCCTGTACAACCTGCATTGAGAGTTCAGTTAATCAGATCATTATAATTTACAGAAGGGGTATCAGGCTTGGAAGAACCGGCTGGAAGGATCTGATGTTGAAAAGAGGCCAAAAAGTTAGCTCAGATCTAGCAGAAAATCTTTTCTTATTCAGCTAGTACTTAGCACTCCTTTAAAACAGCAGGAGCAATTCATTAAGATTCGCCTTCTGCAGTGGTGGGGGTGGTAATTTAAAAGTGGAATATCCAGAATTCAGTATCCTAAGTTTTATCTGTGAACAGAGATATGTCACCAAATATATTTTCTTGCTCCCACCTCCACGAAATTTAGCCTATTGAAGTACACAGTGCTGCATTACTCACTGCTAGTGGAACTATATTAAGAGTGTGAAAGACATTCCTTTCATCTTCACCCAGGAAAACGTCTTGACTGAACTTCTTGGAGTTTGTCTGTTCTTTGCCACGCAGTTTTTTGTTGAACTTTCTAGTAATTGCAGGGCTGGAGTCAACCCCTGCTGTCCTTTCTCAACTCTTTCTGCTGGGCAAGGCAATCAGCACCTTGGCTACAGAAGGAAGCAGGAGATAATTCTCAGAAACACCTGTAGTGCATTGTTAACACAGTAGAAGAAAATTTAAGTTTGGGGTCTGCTGAAGCTGATGGTGTTTCTGACCCTCAAAGACAAGCCCTGAGTCACCTCCTGGCGTGGCTGCCATTGGTGGTCCTGGGCCTGTGGTCACTGCTTGGCCAACTGCAGCAGCAAGGCTGTGGCAAACACCTAATAAGCCACAGGTTCAAATTTTCTGTTCCTCTGCTCTGGGAGATGCTGCTGCCCTCCCCCTCCTCACCATTTCACATTGATTCTTTATTCCAGCTGTGTTGCCCTCAGCTGTCCCAGGCCACAGCCAACACTAACACAATCCAGTCTCTCTGAGCCAGGTTTAAGTGTGCACAATGGGCAAGAGAATACGAGACAATGAATGCTTCAGCCAACAAGCCAAAGCCACTCTGGCTTTTGCTGCCTCTGTGAGATTTAATTTGATATCCTGCCTGCTTGGGACTGCCATCCATCCAAGGGCTTTCTTAAAGATCTCTGATCCAGGGTAAAAGCCTGTCCCTGTGGATTCAAGGGATGTCTACTGGTTCACTAAGTCTCTGGGAATGATAAATCCTGGTGAGAAGGCAACCATTTGGGTTTGCAACATGATATTAAGGTTGTTCTGGAGGAAGCAAACAAAAAACCCAAAGAAAACCAAGCTAACTCAAAGCCAAGAAAGAAAGTTTATGCTCAATGTTAAAGACAAAGTTTACATGCAAACATTCAGTAACTGAGAAATTATGGCTCTCAAAGCAACAATAAGCTAGTTATGTCAAGGCTGTTAGGCACAAGGGAGACATGAAGCAAAACACAAAATGTGCTGTTATCTCTCAGTTTGTGTCTCCTCAAAGGCAAAATGCCCACTGACTCAGACAAACACTGAGAAAAGAATTGCCTGGACCTCTGCACTGCACTCCCCACCCTTCTGCTGGTCTTTACAAAGAGAAGTATTTCAAGTGGAAAAGAGCCCAAAGAAGGGAAAAGTGCCTGGGTAGCAGGCAAATCCACGTGTTTGATCTTCAGACTTGGGTGTATTTGGCTCCCCAGGCCTAACTCATCCTCAGTCTGTGCCAATGTGATGTTATTTAGGGTCTGCCACTGTGCATGAAAATGTTGCCTAACAGTAAAAGACACATCTACATCCACTTGAAGGTTTTGGAAGTGCAGAGGGAGCCCTCCAGAATGGTCCCTTCTTTAAGATGAGGATTTGGGAGAAGGTGCCTGATTTACTGCTTACTAGAGAAATGGAGGCTTAGAGAAGGACTGAAGAAGTGGGTGCAGGTTCTCCTCTATTTCCTTACCACAGGGAAATAAGAGAGCTCAAGAAGTGGGGCTTGAGAGTTGAAAGGTAGATCTGAGCTGTTTAAACTGCTTAAGTTAAGTTAGGGCAGGAAAGGACACAACATGCATTTAGGAGATGATTTTGTTGGAGTGTTTACAGAACAAGGCTGGATCCAGCTTATCTGTACCCCCTGCTGGAAGTGACATTTTCCCTCTCAGTCACAGATAACACTGTCCTGCACAAAGCACAAGCAGTCTGTGCTGTACCCAGGCCCTGACACATCAAAAGCAAACTGAACACCTTCCCCTCTCCAAGATGAAAACTGTGTGTACGGAGCAGGCAAGTGCTATTATTTTTTATAAGGCTGTCAGACCATCAGGAAAATATATCTCTGCCTTAATTCCTCTTGACATGAGTATTAGATTGGATTTGGGTACATTCAGGCTTCTTTTTTTCATCAGAAATTAGTTTTCTTTGCTTCTGGTGAATTACGTCAAGAGCTGATAAGAGTTGTGAATTCTTGTTCAAGATGAGTCTAATTTTTAGTGGTACTATACTAGCATCTACAGGTCTCATATCACCCCTATCCCAAAGGGATCAAGATCCCAAGAGATAAAACTGACAGCGTGGACAGGGGTAGATAAAGCAATCGGGTGCAATATATCCAGAGTGCCAGCACAGCACAGCTGCCTTGACACTCACCTCAGT